GAGCATTGTTTATCACGTGGTGGCAAAAAAAAAATGCGATCAATATTTTTTGATTTATTATCCTTCGTATTTTGGTACTCCCCCTTTATTATTATTATTTATTTACTTTTTGTTCGTTTACATATATTTATGAATACATTTTTTGGATTTTCTTATATTTTTCTTCTATTTCTGTTGGTTTTTGTTTTATTTATTTCGTTTTGTGTAGCGCTACAGGGATTTGAACTTAGGTGTTGCAAATGTATGAAATGAAAAGAAAAAAAAAGAATGTAATATAGAACAAATCCGAAACTCGCATCGACCGATATCCATACGACACTATAAATTGTATGATTACAGTAACTCACTCGGTTTTCTCCTCATAATTATTATTATTATTACATTTGTTTATTTGCTGTTTGTTATTATTGTTCTTTACAGGGTTTCATTTCTATATAAATTATGTTTATAAGGACGTAGTGTATGTCAAGATCGTGTGGTAAATTGTGCATTCGTAAGTTCGGTTTTTCTTGGTCTTTCTAAAAACAATGCGTTAATCCAGCGTTACTCAGTAGTGTTTTATCCCAACAAATTTGTTTGTAATTGGATTACGACGCAATTACTAACAGTTTTTCACAAGTTTGACATACGGTGACAACTGTCATTTCGCGTGTCATTCAAAATTTGACGCGACCCAATTTTGGGTCACGACCCATAGGTTGAGAAACGCTGTGTTTATCCATGGAAATACATGTTTCCACAATTTTCAGGATCTATTAAAATAGTATGTATTTATTATGTTTCATGTTTACTACCCTTTACAGACTATTGATTTAATTAGTGTTCAGTGACCTTACGTTTAATAAACAAAACCATTCATATTGTTATTGCCTCTTTCCACAACATACTCAATTATTAGTGTAACCAACAATTGAATTTCACATATTATACAGTAAAACTTTGTTTGATTCAATATAACGTGGTTTCTAAATTTACTTATTTTCTATGTGTTAATGTGACTTCTGTTTCATTTAAAGCTTGTCATCTAGGAACACATCCTAAGTGCTAAACAAAGTCTTACAGTATATCAAAAATAATATATATTAAATGTTTGAAAATCATATTATTTTTTGAAGGAAATGAAGATAAAGATTATAAACTAAGATATCTGATATATTATGTGAAGTGTATGATGTTAATCATTATTCAAAGCTCATAAGTACACATGGTTTTGATCAAGTTGTGTGATAAAGCAACAAAATAAAATATATTTTTGTATAAAAATACGTTTTGAATGTGATTTAGCAAAAAAAAAATATTACAACATCTAATAACACAATGTAGTTTAATTTTGAAAATGTTAATTAATCAGATTTATTAATAACTTGAATATTTCACTATTTTCATTCAAATTATTATGTAAATGTGGTAAAGTTGCTATTATAAATTAATCAATTATTTTATATTTTTAATTATCTAAATAACATGGTTGAAAATACTACTTTTAATTAATAAAATTAACACAATTTTTGTCTATTATTAAATTTGATGAGTTGTTAAAATAATGAATGGAAATTGATTTATACACATTTAATTGAATGTGGAATAAATAGTGTAAATTCAATAATGTATATGTAATACAGTTTACTTCGACAGTCACCAAAAATAAACACCTATTTATAATTCCAATTATAACAAAAAAAATAGTAATGAATCGGCTACTGATTATACGATTTTCTGCCCTATTACTTTCGATATATCACAAATTAATAATTTATTTAGTATTTAAAATATTAATGTATGAAAAATAAAAATAAGAAAGGTATAAACATAGATTGACTCACTTGATTCAACTAACAGCCGCATTTGACAACAGTTAGTCTTTAACCATTTTTTTCTTTAATATAATTATATTAATACAGCAATATCTCACATAGTGAGGGTAATCGATTTCGATAATATCTCGAACTGTTTGATAAAATAGACTTGTTGTATAAAGGAAAAAAAACGATCATTTATGTATTGTGATATATTTTTTAAATTGATTTTATCGATTAAAATCTAGTTTGTTTCGAAATTATCAAACAGGACTATTGCAAATCTGGACTGATCGAATCCAAACCTTTTATGACAGTGTTTTCTAACATGTGGCCCACATCGATTGTTAAATTTCTTAACCCTTTGAAGTGCCAGAAATTCTTAAATTTCTAGACTTGCCAAATATCTAGAGCAGTGATTCTCAAAGTGAGGGTCGCAGAAAAATTGATGACAGATCAATCTTTTTCTACGCATACCTAGTCCTCGGGAGGTTACAAATTTGAGTGCAAAAGGGGGTTGCAGACCCATAAATTTGAGAAACGCTGATCTAGAGAACTGAATCAGACAACTTCGTCAATTGAATCAACATCGGATCGTATGGACTATAAAAATTCATACCTTAACATACCAACCCGATTATAGGGTAATTCCTTTTTCATGGATATTTTCTAGAAAAATATTCAAAAGTTACAATACTTGACCCACCGCCTCTCAAAGAGTTAACTGGAAAATGGATTAGTCCAAAGTTTAACCTATGTCGAATTAAGTATATATTATATAGGGGGTATAAAAATTTTAGAAAGACATAGGTGGGACATGGTACAAAAGAGTTGGGAAACACTGATGTAAGGTATTGTTGTATTTTTGTATATGCGACTGTTTCAATAAATATCATTATATTAAAAAAATACTGGAGTTAAACAACAAAGTGTATATAATAAGTGTCAAAGACCTTTTCCATTAATGGGTTTTCTGGTTAATAGTTAAGATAGAAACCATCTAACTATTAAATGTGTTGTTTCTCGTAGTATCGATAATTATAGCAACATAGCCACTTTTTAATCTGGATTAAGGAAATCTAATTTAGGTCATTTCTATTTTTACGTGGTGTTTTTCATTTCAATGAAAGAAAAGAAAGTAAGAAAAAAATATACATGAAACGAGAAACAACCCTAAGAGGATTTATTGAAAATATAGCCGGTCTCAGGAAATACAATACGGCGATAAGTGATATAAATGCGAAATGTTTGGAAGATAACACCGATTTCCATTGAATATATTCTCTCTGTCTTTCTTTATGGCTTTTCTCTCTAATTGACAACTTCGGTGTGAGTCATACGCACGTGCACTCACTGCATGTGCAACTGGATATAATTATATAACCATTAGTCCTGCCGTCGCATGCGTGCGAATTATCGAAACTCCGCTGAAACGTAAAATTAAAACGTGGACAAAACAAAAATAAACAACTGAAAAGAGAGAAAAAAATCCGACCGACTGCTGAACTTAATTAATTATACGAATTAATTGCATTTATGCCCGAAGAAACATGTCACCTCGTGCATTCGTTTTTATTTGTTTTGCGTGGGTCTACTTATTGCAATTATAAATGAATCACACGAACAATGGACGAATCCATGCATTTCATACATTATTTTATAATAATATTAATAACACGTATAATCCATTTTATTAGTTTTAATTATGTTTTCATGTAATATGAGAATATTTCAAATAACTTATTTTTTATTACAGAATATATTATATTCATATTTTCTTACATATATGAAAAATGGATTAAAAATTACAAAAATTACAAAAAAAATAGTTCATAGATGAGAGATGGCGCTCCAATTAAGTGGAAACTACAATAAGTGAAAAAAGTGCTAATATTTTTACAATTCAATCCAATTTTTTGTCAAATGGTTACAGAAAAATATATTTAAATTTTTTATTTTCAGATTTCCTGAGAGCTTTTGCTCCTACTATCACAGTTTTTCTAAACATGTTTTCTAAACATTTGGCAGTTATAAAATTGTAAATAATTATTCTATAAAATTCTATAAAATTAATGAAATCAAACTTTTTCAATTTAGAATTAACTTGTATATTTTCTTACCAAAGTTGATAAAATAACTTAATTTGTACTTACCTTTCATATCTGCTTAATTCCAACTGTTCTTATAGAATACCAACTAACATAAGTATTATCAAATCCAGCCTTAGTTTTGCTATATAGTATTTATCAAACATACAAATTATTGATAAAAAAGTAACTGTTTGAGTTAAGAATTTAACACTATTTATTTCTGCAAATACATAATGTGCAACTCTATTAAGTATATTACTTTTGACAGATGTCACATGACAATACCCAACGTAGCCTGTTTTATTTAAATGTGAAATATTAACATTATTAAATTTCAATTATCCGTACCAACTCGAAACAAATTTAATAATTTTGTATTCATAATCATGAAGGACAAATATTTTGTAACCCAACTTTATATGCATCTTCTAAATAATATTGTTGACATTTGACATACATAACAACATTCAATAATATGTATTTGTTTCTAGTAATAAGAAAATGTCTTATTATGATTAGAAAAATTAATAAAAACGTTATAATATAGAAATTGTCTGTTGATTTAAAGAGAAAAAAAAATGGATAAGATTCTTGTAAATGTAATTTCATTCATTAATAGTGAATGTCTTTATATTTACTTTTTTAACAAAATTATATCTCATTCATTTTGAAGGAAAAATAACAATAAATATATTGAAACAGACATTATATATAATAATTTTTTTTAAATTTTTTCTTAAGAAGAAATGTGGGTACATATTTTTTTGACTTGTAAATTAATTACTATGATATTAATTAATATAATTGTTTTTGGAAACAAAAGAAAATCTTCTTGAATGCACAATTTGACGCAGGAACCAGTGACATACGTACACGTAAAAAAAAATGCATCAAACAGAACATGGTAAAAATGTGTTTATTGTTTTATGTTGAAATTGTTTTTTTTTTTCGTATTATTATTACTAATATTATTATTTTCTATTTATATATATATAAACATTTATATATACTTTTATTCGTTGATACGATTTGTTTTTATTTTAGTTATATTATCATTGACTAGATATTAGTGTGCCTAGTTATTGGAGTAGAGCTAGAGGCTAGTGTTTTGCAGGTTTCTAACGATGTTCCCTCAGGAAATCGTAGCTGTGGACCTGCGCACGTTACGCGCTATTCGAGTGCTAAGACCTCTCAAGCTAGTCTCTGGCATCCCTAGTAAGTAGATGACTAACTTAGAACAATCCAAAAAAAACATATTATTTAAAATATATCTATTATCCACTTTCTTTACTGTGAAAAAAAAAAGTTAAACAAAAAAAACCTGTTTTCTAAATAAAAGGAAACTCAATAGGCGAAAGAAATATTCAGCTCATGCAGCCAGACTCTATTGATTTCCCTTTTATTAAAACATCACCTATTCTATCTTTTTTTTCTCTGTGTTTAAACCATTTCTTTATACTCTATTTAATTTATTTTCTCTTTTTTGTTTTAATTGAGTTCTCTTATGATTTCGATCATCGACCCATTTCGATATATTAAAATTAACTGACTTTAACAGACGAGAAGAAACGAAAAAACTGTACAGCATACGTTTTTGTCTTTATATATATTTTTTTTGTTATATACGAACGTATAATTTCCGGCTATGAGGGCAAACCATTTTTATGACAATCTATGTGTTTTTCCTGTATTCTTTTCGTCGACTATTTATTTATTGTTTTCTCTTTCTTGTACTCTTTTCTTTGTCGCTCGTTCGTTATTCCTTGTTTATTTTTTTTTTCTTTGTACGCCATCGATTCGTTTCTGTAACCAAATTGAAAACGGCGTTGGATTTCGCTTAAATATGGACCTCGACCTGAAACCTATTCTACATATTATGAGTTGATCGATACGCGATACCATGTGTAACGTGTGATTTTCTTTTCGTTTCCTTACTAACTCTCTCTTTCTCTCTCTTTCTTTCTGTTTCTAAATATATATAAAAGTGTGTTTTGTTTTTCTCCTTCTTTGTGTTTACTTACGTATCTTTGGTTTCTTTCCACCGTTCTCTTCGTTTCTGGCGCAAATTATAAAGCAGATTGCCATGGGAAATTGGTTTATGAACTTTCCAGCGTCGAATTACCCAATTCGCGATCTAAACCGAGATCGGGGTTTCCGGTCGAACTTGCATAACAAAAGAAAAGAACGAACCTATCTCAAACTACTTTAGCGCTAATCCAATGGCTTCATCCATTTTAAATAAGCCCACAAACCACGTGATACTTGTCAAACTACTTGCATATAGATGTTTCTACGTATATCATTTATGTTCAAGTACATACAGGGGTTACCAAACATGTTTTGGTTTACGACGCCCTTAATAAATCAGATTTTTTCCGCAGCACCCCAAGTCAAAACTTTGATCTATCTCAGGGAGAACTTTATGTTACTAGTAGATTTTCTTCGACTTCGCCACTATAGCAAAGTTTGAGAACCCCTGCGTTAACAACTTGTTTACACAGAAATATGACAACTTAGTACTAACTTAAGATACAATTTTTACACTGTTATTGCTTATAGTAAATTTTTATAGTTCTTTGTTAAAATAAGAACAATAACATAGAAACTTGTTTATTAATTATATTTAATTTGTATTCTAATAAAAAACGGTTTTATTTTACACGTTGCACATTCATTTTCAAGGTATTTATTTTTGTGTAAGAGCTTTTGTTGTTTCAAATCAATGGAAATATTAAAAACATTAACCTACAAAAGTGAGAAAAATATATGTCAAAATTCATATGAGGAAAATTTGTAATTTTACCAACGTAAGATACATTTTTACATTGTCATTGCTTATAGTAAAATTTTATAGTTTTGTGTTCAAATAAGTTTTATTTTACACGTTGCACATTAATTTGCAAGGCATTTTTTGTGTTGAGAGCTTTTGAAAATGAGGAAAATTTATAATTTTTAATAAATTTAATTATAAATAATATTAACAAAAGTGCATTGCGATTTAAGAATAAAAAAATGTTAAGTATGTGATCTCAAGTTGTTAAAAGTGCTATTGACAACATAACTTGAAACTTGAAACATTACTTGTCAAGTATCACGTCGTAAACTATGGTAAATCAATACCTCGCATAGCGCGACTTCAGTATAGTTCGGATTGGAAATTTCAATACAAACTAAATTTTAATTTTTGTCCAGTTTATTTTTGCATGTATTTCATTTCAAACAGTCCGATATTGGCGGAACCTATTTCCCGCACTATACGAGGTATTTCTATATCTTTATTATTAAATAAATGATTCTTATTTCGAAGAAATTTCATTCATAGATTGCGAATGAAAATGACGTCAAAGTTAGCATCCATTAACGTTTTTCATCAAGAAACATGAATCACAGTTTGTAGAAGCTTATTTCAATTAAATTAATCGATTCGCGAAAACTTCATACATTAAATATGAATCATAATTCATAAATATTAAATTAATTAAAGCACGCTACAAATAACTGTAGTGTGAAAGGTTCGATTCGCACAAAACATAAAGATTCTAAGAAACCCCGATCATCCGGTTCCGAATTACAATTAAATTGCTCAGCAAATTGTGGATAATAAGTTATAAGTTGACATTTCCTGCACATTTTATGTTTCACTTACAAAACTACCAAGAAATCAAATAAACGCCGTCAACCTAACAAAAAAATGTCGAAAGCAACATGTTCTTTAGGTTTCTTTACGAAATAGGTATAGGCGTTATTTGCTGCTTCTTTTGCATCCTGACCAGTGATTCTCAAACAAATTTAAAACGCACCACCAAAATAAATAGCAATCTATATTTTAGTGTTAAATAAACTCTTATTTCACACACCTAGCAAATTTTTGCAGAACTTTTAAGGAATGTCGAAGCATCTGTATATAATTTGTTTTTTTAATTAAATAGTATTGTATTTCACGAGTTTATTACAAAAGCTCTTATTATGTATAACTACACACGTCACGTAATAGAATTTGCAGAATTTTCAATGGATAGTTAATCGAAGGTGAGTTTTTTGCATTTACTAACTTGTAGACATCATCGATTCATCTTCGAAATACTTCAAATTCATAAAATAATTCAGTCTAAAAAAAAAACAAACAAGATCATTTATCAGCATATATGAAATAAAAAATGGAAATCTCTACATTTTAAGTTTGGGAACTGCTGGTCTTGTCATATATTTTCGCTTGCTATTATTTAATTTCACGGGTTTTATATTATACATAAGTACAGAAAGTTGTTGAATTTCGTTTAAAATTAAGTAAAAGATTTTTAATCCTTAATTAAAAATAAATATTTACTAACTAATTTGATAATTATTTCATTATTTACAAATTTAGGTTGCATCAATTTTTTGTTCAACCAAAGTTTGTAAAATTTTCAAGAAAAGTTTTTGGGACATTCATAATTTAAACTAAAAAAAAATGAAAAAAAAATAATTTTAATTAACGAAAAAAATGTAAAATAAAATCTACTTTTATTTAAAAATAAATCTTCTTGAAACAACTTTAATACTAAATAATTTTATTATTTTACAAATTAAGGTTTTCGTCTGTATCAACTTTTCGTTCAACAAAATTTTATAACATTTTTCAAAAATCTTTTATTTCTCAGACTGAAAGAGATTTCAACATATATCAGTCAGTTATTACTCATAATTGAAACTTTAAAAAAAATGTAAATAAATAATTTTGAATTGACGAAAAAAATTGTAAAATAAAATCTACACTTGTTCATAAAAATAATTCAATTTGAAACAACTTTCTGTATATTCGAGTATAATCAAAAAAAATATATTTTGTTAAAAATTAGTTTTATAAGTTTACGACGTTGGTAATAACTAACCTAAATTAAAAAAAAAACTAATAGGGTAAAAATAAGTATAGTGTAGAAAGCAGTATTTTCAAATATTATGAGCTTGAAAACATTCAACAATGCAACAAAATTGAATTTGTAAAAACAAAAATGACACGAGCAAACAATGCAGAACGCACAAAGGGCCCATGAAATCAATTAAATGTAAATATATCAGACACACATTGTTCGCAGTGCATTTGTTTCAGAGCTGCTCGTCTTTTATTTCTGGTGCATTTTTGTGCATTTCCACTCCATTTTTTCGGCGTATTGTGTGAAAATATTTTAATTTAAACAAAAAAAATCTTTTTTTTTGTAATAAACATATATTTTTTTTAGTAAAAATTGTGTTGATATTTGCTTTATATTTTTATATTTATTTATATCAATATTAAAATTCGTAATATTGTAAATAATACTTCTCATTTGATGACCACTTTTTTTTATTTTTAATTAATCTGCATCGCTCTGCATTTTTCATTATTAATTCTGGCCCGAATCCAATTTGATTTGAAAGCAAAAAATTATGTATTCCGTACAGCGCGCGATTTCAGAGAATTGAAACGTTCATATATTATTTTCAATTTCAACAATGATATTGATATTATTGTCCTATTTATTATTTAGTTTATATGAACCAATAATGAAACATACATTAAGTTTCATTATTTGTATAGTTAGTTTAACTTTTATGAATTATATTTTTAATTTTTCGTTTTACGAATTCTCGGTTTACGAAACAAAAACGATAATTCTTTGTTAATTTATATAGCAATCATTATTTTTGATAATTTTATAGACATCAAATAATTAAATTAATTATGTCACAACAATATTATAGAATATTCTGCTAAAAAAGTATTAATTGTCAAAATAATTATAGTTAAAAAAATAAATTATGGGACTTGTTGACAATGTCATCATTATTTTTGATAATATTAACTGTCAAAATTAATTGTATTTTATTTGGTACATTAATTTGTAGCAATTATTTTATATTATGTCACTACAATATAATAAATTTTTGACGTATCCTGTCAAAAAAGTATTAATTTTCAAAAATGATTATATTTTGTAAATTTATTTATAGGAATTATTGATAATGTATTATTTTTACTATAAAGGATACAAAATTAGGAGTTCGTAAACAAGTTTTTTTTTTGTTAAAGAAATTATAAAATCTTTAAGCGTTTAATACTAATTCAAAACTTTTCATTATATTTTGTCTGAAACATAAATAATAAGAACGTTTTCAATGCTCTTTCATATTAAAGCGTTTGAAGAGTGCAAAAAAAATCCAGAAAGAAAAGTAAGCGATTTAGTTATTAATTACCCGTCGTAAACTTATAAAGTGTAACACTCTTCGGAAGTGGTTATTGATGTATTCCCTTAAGTTTTCTCGCGCAATTCTCAACATCGCAACCCTCCTTTATTGTATTTACCATTTTTACTTGTTTTTTGTTAACATATTTACTTTGCAAGCTTCGAAAAAAAAAATCGTTATGCAACCCACCGAGAAAATCAATTTGTAAATAAAGTAAAGATCCATTGAGAATTGTTCCACGTAAGTATTCCAGTTGCTAATTTTCAGTTGGGTTTCAGTAAACTGTTTTTACTATGTTGGAAAGCAAAAAATTTGATGATTTTCTATATAATTTTTTTTTTTCATTTTTGGAAAATTTTCTTTTTCTTTCGATCGGGATGTATTTTCTCGCTTAATTTTGTGAAAAATGTCCAGGGAATCGACGGTAACAAAAATGTTTTCAAATCCCAGAGTCCACTTTTTGGTTTCGTTTTTGGACACAGTCCCCCCTACAATGTCCCATATTGTTTTATTTTTTGGTGATTTGTTTTTTTGTTTCTTTCAAAATACGACTTCCCCCAAACAAAGAACACTTAGAATCGTATGCTGTACAATTAATATGGTAGTCTCATTAGTCTTGTACAAAACTTATTATATTATATCGAACGTAGTTTAATTTAATTATTGAAATTAGACAGTTTTATTATTATTACTACTATAATTATATACTATTTATTAATTACAAATTAGTTTATTATTTGATTAGCGCTTATCTCAGATCTCTTTCTTGAACGCTTACACTTGATACTAACTAACTTTCTCTCTTCACTCACACTCCAGAAACTCTTACGTTTACGTTCGTACTTTATTTATTTTTTTTAACTTTTCTCTCTCACTTTGTTTGTCAATTGAAATACTAGAAAAATTTAACTTTTCAAATTCAGAAGTACATTCAATACAAGACTTAACTTAACACATAAAAACACACACACACACGATAATTAGTCGTTTTTTGTTTTATTTCGTTCTTTTGTTCTCTCTGATCACTTAGTGTGCTATCAGGTTAGCAATTATGCAGCGTTTCGTGTAATCTCGTTCCGTAGGTCTGCAGGTGGTATTGAAGTCCATCATCAAAGCCATGGCTCCCCTTCTGCAAATCGGACTGTTGGTGTTATTCGCCATCGTCATTTTTGCCATCATTGGCTTGGAATTCTACTCGGGAGCTCTGCACAGAACATGCTACAGCCTCCACGATATAGGTAATATTTATACTACACTCTAAAACTATGTGAGCAAAACAAAAATCTTCCAAAATAAAACCAAAAAATAAACTTAATTTACAATCTACTGTATTTTATGGACCATAAGATGCCTTATTTGGAGAAAACTACTTAATATTGATATATTTGTTAGTATCTTGTAATACAAAAAAATCTTGAATAAACACTTGACAGTTAAATCAAATTTAAAAAGCAAATCCTGTTATTTGTACAATAATCAAACCTAATTTATTGTAACTGTCAAAATATTTCAACGTTTCACTTGTCAGAACCTTTCAATATTCGTTTCAACATGATACTAGCTCCACTTGGCATACTATTATATTTATTCTACCTGTCCAAATATTAATCATATGTCAAAATGTTACAATAACTGATTTACATGTCCAAACCCATTTCATCTATCATAACTTAACCTAAACTAAACCTAACCAATAATCTAACGTAGTTATATCATGCAGAATAAGGTACATTTTAATTCAACAGTTTGTGTCAGCCGATTGTGTCTGTCGAAATATTTAAATTCAATATCTATTTTCGAGTAGAATAAATATTGATTCTATCTGGCAAAATATTATATTTGCTCTACTTGTCAAAACATTAATACCTGTCTCACCTATTAGAATATTTATATATCTATTCAATCTGTTAACATGTAAGAATAACTGCTTACCTGTCTAAATCCGTTTCATTTATATTAACCTACATTAAACCTAACTCCTAATCGAACAAAGATATTGAGAATGTAAACAAGGTTAGGTTTGTCTTATTAACAGATCAAAATTACTTATACAATTTTTTAAAGCCATTGTAATAGTTCTCTATTTTAGTGAAACTTAATCAAAATATTATATCTATTACATCTGTCTATCTGTTTCTTCTGTCATAACCTAACCTAAACGTAACCTCCAAACAAACGCAGTATTATTATGTATGTGGACAAGGTTGTCATATTTAACTATATCCTATAACCACGTTTACCTATTCTTTCTAAAATGTAGTTCAACTGACTTGCACTTTTGTATTGACAGATATTGCCATAGTGTGCTTCAATAACACCTAACTTAACTTATCCAAACCTTACATGACCCATAATTTTGACTGAATAGTAATAAATCAGTATTGAATATGTTATAAAAATCGTATGTTTTTTCAGATGTCATCGTCAAGGAAGGTGATTTGGCGGCGCCTTGTAATACCGACAACCAGTCGCAGGCAGAGCTCCAGGGGAGCAATTGGTGCAGAGATGGTAATTCCGTGTGCCTTGAACGATGGCAGGGTCCCAACAATGGGATCACGTCGTTCGACAACATAGGTTTCGCCATGCTGACGGTGTTCCAATGTATCACTATGGAAGGCTGGACTTCCATTCTATACTGGGTACAACAAAAACAAATATTCAACGTAATTAACTTAACTAAACTGAAAATTACTCTGCTTTCCGAAGATGAACGATGCCGTCGGCAGTTACTTCAATTGGATGTACTTTGTGCCACTGATTGTCCTGGGGTCGTTCTTCATGCTCAATCTAGTTCTCGGTGTCCTCAGCGGGTGAGAAACGATCTTTAGTTTATTAATTTTAATATATTTTATCAAATGTGAAGAAATGGAATGTACAAATTGGTAAATCTTGTTGTAAGAGAGTTCTCGAACGAGAGGCTGCGTGTCGAGAGGCAAGCCAACTTCTACAAGGCCCGCTCCAAGCGGCAGTTCCTCGAAACATTCGAGTATTACCTTGAATGGATTACTCAAGCAGGTGCTTTTGATTATATTCACGAAACGTAAACGGCTAAAACTGTACTTATATCGTTGAAAGCTTCCATGCAATTTATTACATTCCCAAGACCACTGTTACTAATATAAATAAGTTTATAATCATCAATAGTCTTTCTACACATCCTTTAGCTGCTAAGAATATGTCCAGCTTTTAAAATATCAACGTATATATAGTAAAATATATTTACCAAAGCACATAAATGATTCCGTTTCGTTTTATAAAACTCACAAAGAAAGAACAATGTAACAAAGTATTTGAAGAATCTGCATTAAAACTTGATAATTTTATTCTAATTTATTATTTATATTTTTCTAATTTAATTGGAAATCTTTTTAAAATGTTTAAAACAACATAAAAGAAATAATCAATAAGTTTGAATACAGAAAAAATATATGGCAGAAGAAATAGTGATGTGTTCATAATATTTGGGACATTTCAGTTTTTCCATTTTCCAAATATTTGATATAAGATAGCGTACCAAATAGTCGCAAATACAAATCAGATTTGACCTCCAGTTATTGACGATAAAGTTTCAAATATACTGCACTGTAAAGCCATTAAACCCCTGAAGAAAAGTAGGACAGAACTTCTGTAATTGTGTTTAGAAAATAGAGTTACTTACGATCGTATTGAAAATGCGGGAAGGCCACAAACGGACGTATCTTTTATCTCTATAAATACCAAACTATATCTTCTATAGTTATACTTTCTGATGATTCAATTTATATGATAATTAATGATGTTTCTCTTCTGCAGCAATTAATGTTTTTTTGAACGTCTGTAACAGATAATTATGGAAATCTTAACAAACTAATTACCAAACATACTACTATGCAATTTAATTAATTTCACTATTTTTGTATACACAATAATCCTTATAAACTTATTTATCAGTAATAGAAAAAAATAATTTTAATACAAAAATGTTCACAAATAATTTAATTACGTTAGCGGAAAATAGAATGTCTTGCATATATTTGATACACTAGGATGAATTATGTGTTATACCATATAATATTCATGCAATTTAAAGGAGATTTCCGTGTGCCGTACGAAATTTGCTGCAGATTTGCAAAAGCTTAGCAGAAACTGCAACCTTCATCCGCATTTAGAACGAATAACTAAAGAAAACGTAATCCGAATTCAAAAATTGGATCACACATTTCCGTACGTTTCATGCTTCATAACGGCAATAACAACAACACAACCACGTCAAGAAGAAGAGGGAGAGAGAGAGAAAGAAGAAAAAATAGATTAAAAGGAACGCATGAAAAGCAAATATTGCGGGCGATTTGAACCAGCTTTTAAACTTGTCTTTCCGCATTATTTCCTTTCCAGTCTAATTTTAGACTTCGCTCAAAGCAAACATAACTCTGCTAAAGAAATAGAGCGGAGCGACCGAATAAAAGAAAGAGAAAGAGAGATGGGAGAAAGGACGGACATGAAAATATAAACCTATTTGCTAGCAATACATGCAATTTCAGAGAGTTTAAATTTGGATATGTTACAGTAATAATTATTTACTTATTTGTACCTTTATCACGAAATATTAAATATTTAAAAGCGAAACAATAATAATTTGTTACATAATATTAAATAGATTTGGTTAATATCTTTATACACAACTTCACAAGACATATTATTTAATTAAATTTAGTTGTTTGGGGGTTTTCATTGAGGTTGGTACATTCAAAACAAGGGTTGTGAATTTATAATATACATTATTGGACGTTTTGACACATGGTGATAGGTGTCATTTTGTGTCCCTTTCAATACTGGTTCGTGACCCGTAGGTTCAGAAACGCTGGTCTAGAGGAAGTAGAATACTTGAGTTAAATAATATTAAAAAGAGAAGAACAGTATTGTTTCTCTAGTAAATAGAAATTTAATTTTGTTGACGTCAGAAAACATTTGAAAATTTTCATAATTAATTTAATGTCTTCATCGTTAATAATACGTGTAATTCCGTATGATCACGAAAAGGTCAAAGTTCAAAAATAATTGGAAGATTCGATATTCTATAGTTTTTTTCTCCTTTAATTTTCTTTAACAAGAAGCAATAAGGAAAAAAAAATAATTGCTGTACATTATTTATAATGATTATGCAAATGATTTGAAAACAAAAATGTCATGTAAATATGCAGCAAAGATTTACAATGTAACTTAAGTTTGTAAGCTAGTTGATACCCTGTATTAAATTGTTTGTTCTCCTGTAGTGAGTTTGCCAAAGAAAGGGAGAAAGTAGAGAATAGGCAGGAGTTTTTAAAGTTGCGAAGGGCGGCACAATTAGAAAGAGAGTTGAACGGTTACGTTCAGTGGATCTGCAAAGCCGGTAAGTGGAGCTCTCCAAATTTGTAGTGCACTCGACGGCCGTGCACTAATTATGTAACTGATTTTTGTCGCTGCAGAAGAAGTAATTTTGGCGGAGGAGAGAACAACGGAAGAAGAAAAGATGCACATCATGGAGGCGAGACGCAGAGCCGCAAAGAAAAAGAAACTGAAAAAGATGGGAAAAAGCAAAAGCACTGACACCGAAGAGGAAGAACAAGAGGAAGACCTCGGCGATGATGGTAAGATTTCGAATGTTCTCCAACACTCTAAAACGAACACAAAATCTTTAATTTACAAAATTGGAAACAAAATTGTTTTTTTTTTGCATGTCGACAAATTTGGGTATTATTATTTCGATCAATGAAAAATATATTTGAAATGATTTTTATACTTTTTTCTCGCACACACTCGAAAAACCCGCCCTGTTTTATTCGCTCCACCCAATCCATGCAATTGAAGAAACACCAAAAAAAATTACGATCAATCCCTTTTCGTTCATCGCCCTTTTGATTTTTTTTCTGTGTGTGTCCTTTTGTTCTCCAAATACAAAATCTTGCACTGTTTTTACTGATACCATGTTTTAATCCACAGTATTTCTTACAGAGTCTAAGAAAAAACTAAAAGGTATGCGGAACTGGTGGACTACATTATTATGTAAACTAAGAACTTAGTACTTGATATTTCTCTTTTAAGTTATTCTATTTTTTTTTACTTGTGTTTGTCTTTATTTTGTTTTATATTTTTTTTGTTTGTTTTCCTGTTTTCATAGTTTGGACCTTCTTACATATAAAAGTTCTCTATGTAGAGCCTAACTGCAGGATCACACTTACTTATTTATTTCTATGATTTGTTCTCAATTGGGAGGTCCCAATTGTGTCTTTTACTTTCGAACACCTGAAGGCCCGCAGTAATCGGGTTTGGCTTTTGGCTGGAACACTTAACAAATACATATACCATAGTTTCTTTTACTACTTAGTTTTGTTTCTACTGAAACCCCTTTTTAGCGGATGAGAACGACTGATTCTTGTTGCGTAGTTAATTTTGGTTCATTTCGTTTTACTTAGAGATCTATCATTATCGATTAATTACTGCATAAAACTAGATAGACTAGAGACTTGTTTGATGATCGTAGCTCATAGCACTAGTACTAGAACAATACTAGTTTGACTGAAGAAAATAAGCAAGAAATTAAAATATATTTTCAAAACAACATATATATGCATCATGCAAAAATATAAGTAGAACTCTATCTGGAAGCTTAGTAAAATCTATTATGTAATATTCTAAGTAAAGAAAATAAAGTTTATTATAATTGTATTTGAATTAAAGCATAAACAATGACTTGAAATTTTGAGAGAAAAAAATGCAGAATGGCCATGGATTGTTGATGTTTATTCTGTTTGCAAGATCGTATGATTCACACAAAGTATGTCGCATGTTGAAGATAGCCTTGTTGACAGGTTTCGGAAGGGCCGGTTATATGAAGACAAGGGCGCAGGGACCAGGTGGTTGCGCCACCTTCTGGAGGGCCGAGAAGAGGTTTCGTTTTGCCATTAGACACGCGGTGAAGACGCAATGTTTTTATTGGTCCGTCATCGTTCTGGTTTTCTTCAACACCGTTTGCGTAGCCGTAGAATACCACGGGCAACCCGAGTGGCTGACGGACTTTTTATGTGAGTACTTCGATTGGCATACCTCGACTATCTAAATTGATGAAATTCTGATATGTTTGGTTGCAGATTATGCGGAGTATGCGTTCTTGGGATTGTTCATGTTGGAGATGTTCGTGAAGATGTATGCTTTGGGGCCACGGATATACTTCGAGTCGGCGTTCAATCGGTTCGACTGCGTGGTAATATCCGGATCAATATTCGAAGTGATTTGGTCGGAGGTAAAGGGAGGTTCCTTCGGTCTCTCTGTGCTAAGAGCGTTGAGACTGCTGAGGATCTTCAAGGTGACCAAATACTGGTCGTCGCTGAGAAACTTGGTCATCTCGCTGTTGAACTCGATGCGCTCGATCATCTCTCTGCTGTTCTTGCTCTTCTTGTTCATCCTGATCTTTGCCCTTCTGGGCATGCAGCTCTTCGGTGGCCAATTCAACTTCGAAGGTGGAACGCCTCCAACCAATTTCAACACGTTTCCCATCGCTCTGCTCACCGTCTTTCAGGTATGCAGATGGTGGTGGTGCTAACTGGGTCGATGGATGGACTGCTTTAATTCGACTGTTTCGTTATTTTTAGATCCTCACCGGTGAAGATTGGAATGAAGTAATGTATTACGGGATCGAAGCGCTGGGCGGTCATAAAACAGGGATGGTTTACTCCTTGTATTTCATCATCCTTATGTTGTTCGGTAATTACACTTTGCTCAATGTGTTCTTGGCTATCGCCGTCGATAATTTAGCCAACGCCCAGGAACTGACAGCCGCTGAGGAAGAGCAGGCTGAGGAGAACAAAGAGAAACAGGCTCTAGAGCTTGAAAAGGAAATGGAGGCTCTGCAGATGGAAGGAAATCCGAGGCTGGAGGTGACGCCCTCCAGTCCGATGCGAGGCAGGAAAAAGAAAGACGATAAGCCGCCCGACGAAGAAGAAATAGTTGGACCTAAACCTATGCTGCCATACTCTAGCATGTTTATACTATCACCTACTAATCCGTAAGCTATACACAACTAGTTTTTAGTATCAACAAACTCGCTCTGTTTATTGATTCGAATGTTTTGTGTTTCTCTTGCAGTGTTAGAAAGGGGGCACATTGGGTAGTAAATTTAAGGTATTTCGATTTTTTTATCATGATAGTTATTTGCCTGAGTTCGATAGCGTTAGCGTGCGAGAACCCCGTGGAGGAGGCCTCGTGGATGAACAAGTTTTTAAATAATTTTGATTACGCTTTCACCGGCGTCTTCGCCATCGAAATGTTCCTCAAGATCGTCGACTTGGGGATCATTTTGCATCCCGGGTCGTACCTGAGGGAGTTCTGGAACCTCATGGATGCAGTCGTAGTCATCTGTGCCCTGGTCTCCATTGGATACGATCTAACGTGAGTTTAACCGTCTCCAATCGAAATCATTAATTACTAAATCGTTTCTTCTTTGTTTCGCAGGGGTGCGGAGGGTGTCAACAACCTGTCGACGATAAAATCGCTGCGTGTGTTGCGCGTACTGAGACCTTTAAAAACAATAAAACGTGTGCCGAAATTAAAGGCGGTGTTTGACTGTCTAGTGAACTCATTAAAAAATGTGATAAACATTCTCATAGTGTACATATTATTCCAGTTTATATTTGCTGTGATCGCCGTTCAGTTATTCAACGGAAAATTTTTTCACTGCACTGATGCTAGTAAATTTACGGAATCTACCTGTCAGTAAGTATTACAAACACAATTTCCTAATATCTAAAGATATAATAATAATATTCGTTGCAAAAATGTCATTATAACATGTTTTCAATAATCAAAAACAAAATTATTCACCATAACTTTTTTCCGCATTGAAATATCTTACTAAAGTTATCTGCACTTATTTAATACAACGTTTATCTACATCAACGTTTCTCAACCTATGGATAGCATCCCAAGATTAGTCAAGTTAATTTTTTTTAATGGGTCGCGAAATTGATCATTATCTGTAAAAGGAAGAAATTCTTATCTTTACAACTACAAACATATATGGTAAAAAGGTTGAAAAACGCTAATCTATAATAGAAAATCCGATACAAAAGTAGTGTATCGAAACTCATACCAAATTTAAAAATATACATTGCATTACAATAACTTCTTTAAATCTAATCTTTACAATTAATGGCTTGTTTTTATTTGTACACTTTTGAAGTACAGATTAATAACCCTAACATTAGCACGTATTTCTTTCTATATGTTTATCAGTTGTGTGAATATGAAAATTTTTGTGAATTTTTATATTGGGGCACAAGTATCCTTGAACAATTTAATTAGATCATTAAATTAAATCATATAAATCCAAATTACATTGTTATGATTTATATTAAGAATGAGATTGAAATAATTGCATTTTATTAAAGCCTAAATTATAAATATTATGTACAATTTATATTTCGATAGTCTATAGATCAATAGATCTCCAAAACGTCAATAATACATTTTTAATTGTCATTTCAGATTACTTTTAATTATTTACTATTTTGTATTATCAGTTATACATTTCATCATAAAATTGATCACATTAGCAATGGCGTAACAAGAAATGAATGAGCATGTGTGCAAGTAAAGTTTAGTTGATTGAATTATTTTATTTGAATTTATTTGTAGTACTCAGGAAAATTTTAATTTGAGGGCCCCATCAAATTTGAATTTGGGACCTCAGTAAGAATTCTTGACTTAGTGTGGATAATTAAAAAAAGAGAAATGTTTTGTGGGCCCATAGGTTCCAAACCGATTTCTAAGCCATTTCATATTAGTACACAATGATTATTATAACAAAACTTATGTCAAACTGTATTTCATATTCCTAATGCAATTTGCATGGATAATATCCGCACAAAGCAAACTAATTTCAAATCCATCAAAAAAAGTATTCTCAGCGGGATATACATTTCACGAGTTTGAACATATTGTTTTTATATGAATACGTTTTCTCTGTTTTCAAATATAAAAATAGTCAAATAAAAAGTTACTTCATATAACTTACTAATGAACTTTGTTGTACATATTGTTTATTATCATGTTGCTGCAACTATAAAATAGTAATGCTAAAATCCATATATATTTCTTACAGTAATTTAACATTCAAAGTCGATCACAAACAGTTTGAAATAACAACTTCATTCATTCATTCTGTTTTTCACTTCATTTGATCATTGTGTGAAATATTAATCGTTTTACAGGTTGCTTGCGATTCATTTTTTCTATTTAAATGTCGATTTCGAAGAAGAAACAAGTTATTCTTGAAATGAAATTTCCAAATAGTAACATATTTGTTTGCACTTTGCAGGGGACAGTATTTTGTATATGAAGAAGATAGCGATGTGCCTCGCATCGAGAACAGAGAATGGAAACTTCAGAGTTTTCATTACGACGATGTTGCGATGGCTATGCTCACCTTGTTCGCGGTCCAAACCGGGGAAGGATGGCCTCAGTAAGTTAACCCTCTCTCTCTCTATCTCTTTTACAAACATGAATTGCGCTAATTGTTGTTTTCCCCTCACGTCCACAGAGTCCTGCAGAATTCTATGGCAGCAACGTACGAGGATCAAGGCCCCATACAAAACTTTCGCATAGAAATGTCCATTTTCTACATCGTCTACTTCGTAGTGTTTCCATTCTTCTTTGTAAATATCTTCGTTGCCTTGATCATTATTACGTTTCAAGAGCAGGGCGAGGCCGAGCTTCAAAGCGGAGAGATAGATAAGAATCAGGTAAATCGAAATCAAGGAGTTGATAGTAGCTAAATACTAAAAAAATAATTCTTTTTCAGAAATCCTGTATAGATTTTACAATTCAAGCACGTCCATTAGAAAGATACATGCCGAACAAGAGGAATAGCTTCAAATATAAGATTTGGAGGGTCGTGGTCTCGACGCCCTTCGAATATTTCATCATGATGCTAATTGTTTTTAACACGCTCCTCCTCATGATGAAGGTATGTTCCGCAAATTCACTAGACCTAATCAGAACGACGATAATATTGATATAACGTAACTTCTTCTTTATGATATATATATAGTTAACATGATAACCATGTATCTTTAATTTATATTTCTTTTTTTCTGGAGTATAAGTCAAAAAGTCGGCAGCCCTTCGACAGTTGCACATATTACAATATGTATGGACGGCACACAGACACACCAAAAAAAAATAATGAGAAAAACAACAACAAAAAACATCGATGCAATCGTTATATTTATTACTTTCATTATTGTTTATATTTTATTTTAAATTTTTCATTGACTTTTTGTTTTGGTTTGGGCTCACGTTGATATTTTTGAATGCCTGAAAGCAATCTGCACTCGATCATCGTCGAAAAACACTAACACACTTATTATATTGTCCGAACCTCGTTATCGCTGATAACAATTCACATTTCTCTCACGACTCTAAAATTAAGAACATTTACTCTTTTAATGTTAAACTAAGAAAATAACTTCACCTAATTGTTCGTAGCCTGTCTGTTCCTTTTTAGACTTGTTTTTTTTTGTTAAATCCACATGAACCTGTTTTTGAATCGTCGTTTAGTTTCTATTTTTTTTTCCAAAACTGGAATTAATTTTAGATTTTGTATTTGGACAGTTACGTAGCTTTTACGTAGACACACACGAAGTTAAATTTCAAATTGTTTTCGTTATTTTTTTTTGTTTCAATTCGAATAGAGTCAGCGTCAAGGATTGACGAGCAATTGAAACGTGCATAGCATGTATCTGTTGTGAACTTTATGTTACTTTACGCTACGTTTGATGCAATTTCACGTGCTTTGTTTCCAAAACATAGAGACAAATTTGTTTTACCATTATTTTTCTTGTTAGATAATTACTGACAACTTTAGTTATATTTCATTATATATTATTATAAATTTATAAAACACTAAAAACATATAATTACATTCATATTATAATACAGTAGCGTACCAAGAAATTAATTTGTGGGCCTCATGCAAATATTTATCATATTTGAAACCTAAAATTCAGGAAAAGCTTTAGCCTTAGTTTTCAAGCGTTGATAATAAAAAGGTCTTGTTCACTTACTTTTTATACAAAAAGTATATATAAAACAATTTTATTTTATAAAATATTTGTTTTACCTTCAGGTATATTTTTTCAATCAAAACTTTTGATTCTAAAATAGTGAAAAATATTGTATCTAAATTGATTTACAGTTCAATTTTGGTATTTATTTAATATATTTGGTATATAATACACTTGCAATTGATTTTCATCAAATACATATTTGCACGTAACATAGAATTAATTACAAAGTGAAACTTTATTGACAAACAACATACACAATAATGCAGTATACACCAAATTAATTAAAGGCCAACATTAATTAATTTTATTGCAAATATATTAATATTTTGGCGATAATAATATATTTTTTATGTATACTGAAGCTTATAGATATTAGTATAGAAATATTACTCTGACTTTTCTATATATTTATAATAAAATATATTCATGAAAATGTTAAGTTAAAATATTATCAAATTGTATATTTCTAAGCTTAAGTTCTTTTCAAGCACATATGGTAAAAGCTGGCCAGGAGTAAACGCGGCTCCGGAGCCGCATTCTTTTAATAAGAGTTATCAGGGCTGGGCGGTGACGATGGTTGTTATATTGGAAAATTTATTTCAGTAGTAAACATAGCGACCGTTGGGCTACGTGCGGCTCCCTAGACAGGAAATATCTTAAGAATGGCTCTTTGCTCCAAGAAGGTTGCCGACCTCTGACCTAAACTATTAAAAAACTCAACCATCTCGTGATATTGCGCAATTTATTTGATCCTTGGCTCGAAGACAGATTGATAATTTGTCCTCTTTCCAAAATTGATACTATCAAATTATATGTAACAATTAAAGTGTTTTCAAGTTGTCAAATAACAATTAAACTATTTTACTTACAATAAGCCGTGAATGAAACATCAAACCAATATTGACATCTGTAAAGTCTATACGCTGTAACCAAAGCATGTCTATATCTGTCCGATTAATGAAATCTCTTTTAGGCCATCCCCACTCTCTATCTTCAAAAAGAATTGCAAAAGCGACAAAAAAAGTTCCATACTACGTATTTATTTTTTAATTTTCTTTCTGTGTCTTCCCCTCCCCCTTGCAGATTAATATTTGTTAGCATGTCTGTGTGTACGATCTGTTAATGACTTGATTTTATTTACTTTCATATGTGGAGATCATTCAGGAACCGTACTTCCTTCTGTTTCATGTTTTTTTTTTCGTTTTCTATTGCACCTTAATGTTTATCTATTGAGACATAGGATGTGCCTCTGCAGATCGCGAATGTGGCTGCTGCGGTGCACAAATATCATTAATGATCACAATCATCATCATCAACATCACAATGATATCATAATCTTCCCTACACCCTTTTATCTACACTATCTTCTCTCACTCTAGTTCCATACAATTTAAATTTAGACTTGTTTAGTTCTCATTAATATAATTTTGTTCCGTTGCCGAACAACCCAATGAGTATGTACAAGTTTTGGCCACATTGTATGTGTTAACAGCATGATGGGCAAACCGAAATCTACACGAATACGCTTAAGTATCTCAACTGGGGCTTTACGAGCATGTTCACGGTGGAGTGCATCCTCAAGATTCTTGCCTTCGGCGTTCGGGTAAGACATTGTAGAATCTTGGGAAAGGAGCGACAAATACGACATCATCTTGTTTTCGTTTTTGTTCTTTCCGTTTACTATCTCTTTCTATCCAAAAATTATATACGAAATTCCTCATGATTTTACTCTCTATAACTTCCCCATTTCGAATCACACCCACCGACGCTTCTGTTGCATGGCTCTTTGTAGTTAGTTGCCGTAGTGAACGCTTCGAGCATGAGAATGAGTACAAACACATCGGTAACAACACACAAACCGTTTCCGAGAGGAAACAACAACAAGAACAACAAATGAGATAAAAAATATAGATACCCACACACAACAACAACAACTGAGCGATAATTGAACACACGAACGAACTGGTCCTGCCGACTTTATCGAAGTATATTTTTATGTATAACAGACTTTCATATATACAGGCGAGAAAATGAGAAAGATAAGAGAAAGTAATGTGAAATGATATTTGAAAATGAAAGAAAGGTAGGCAGACTGCTTGTACTGCAAGTAGCTACAAATGTAAGTTGTTGTAGTACCACGATTCTCCACCCCTGCTCTCCGACACCTTGGCGGCAATGAATATTCTGTTTACTTTCCTCTTCCTTTGCGAAACTGTTCTGAAGCTCATCGCCTTCGGGATCAAGGTAAAACAATTACGTAACTAAGTTTTAATTATCTCTGTCTCTCTCTCTTTAAGAATAACTCTTAACACTATATCAAACATCTAGATTCTACTAGGACACTGATTCTCTTTACAGACTTCATAATATAAATATATTATATATAACTATTCACTGTTAAAACCCATCTTCATTCAAAAACAATGTAAATCATCCGAAATAATTAATTATGTTTAACATAGCTGCACCCGAAGTAGATTTTTTTTCTCTCTCTATTAATCTATAATACTTGTGGAATTTAGTGCTGTTTTAGTTGAACCTAGCATGCGAAACCTTTATTTCTTTCCATACAAAAGGAAACTACAATTCAAATCTCTCTCCCCAATACCATATACACGAAATATAAAAACATCTAATTGAGTTTCGTTTCGCAGAATTTCTTCAAAGATCCTTGGAACACCTTCGATTTTATTACGGTGATCGGGAGCATAGTGGACGCGATGGTTGTCGAATTTGGCGTAAGTCTTTCACTTATCAAATACGCACCCCTGTTACTAATCTAGTAATTATATCCTAAACAAAAAATGATAATAAAATGTGGGGGAAAATCGCATACAGTGTTTGCAATTTTTTGTTTTAAGGAACGAGCTGCGAAAGTGTCCAAAGAAAGGGTACGTCCTCCAAAGAGTCTGAATACTACTGTTTCCTCCAATAGATTATATTTACATATAGCCCTTTTTACTTGACCAATTAAATACGTTTTATAGGAAGTGATTGCGTTTAACCCCAAGGCAGCGATATTAGTTACCCACCGCTCAGAATCTACCCACCCCTTAATACTATGTATTCTTCTATTTTCTTTAAGTTATTTAAGCGTAGATAAATCTGTTTTTTTTAGAGCAGCAATTTCATTTTGACTTAAAAACTCTAAAACTCTGTTGAACCAGTTGATACCCAAAACGTATTTTTTGTTAGATAGTAGTTTAGGTAAGTATTTATTTATTTATAGTTTTTTAGGAGAGATAGGTTTTTGGTCCGAGCGAAGATAATTTTTAAGTTTGTTTATTTTTCATTTTATATTGTTTTTGTTGATATTTATAAGAATATATATATAGGATCCTTTTAGATTAGGCCGTGCGAGACGTGCAGACCTTGGTCATATTATTTGTTTGGTGATAGACATTTAGGTAGATTGCGTAAACGGACATTTAGTGTGGGCTAGATATGCAGGTTTTGTCTGTGAATTGTGTGTCCCGAGTAACGTTTGGAATCGTTTCAGGAAAATTTCATCAACGTCGGTTTCTTACGGTTGTTCCGCGCCGCCCGTCTTATTAAGCTGCTTAGGCAAGGCTACACCATCCGCATCCTCCTGTGGACGTTCGTCCAAAGTTTCAAGGCTCTTCCATACGTTTGTCTTCTGATCGCAATGCTATTTTTCATCTATGCCATCATCGGCATGCAAGTAAGTCTAATTTACCTTTTTTTGATAATAATAAATCAGATGCATTACAAATAATATAAAACAATAAATTAACATTTAATTGATATTAAATGTAATTAATTCCATCGAAATACATTGATTTTTTTTAAAGAACAAACCAAAATATTACTTTTACAGTTTTAGTTTTAACAATGAGAAATCTAAGTATCTAATACATTCTTTTTTTTAAATAGCTACTGCAATCAAATAATTAGTTGAGATTAGAATAGATGAGTTTTGAAATCACTATAGTCAATATACCAAATATTTTGTCTGAGTGAAAACTTTTCTGTATAAGAAACTATAGCTGGTTTCTGCATCTGAAAGTTAAATAAATATTTGTAAATTTTGGACAATACTTATTTGCCCAAAGTAATAATTGTGTAATAAAATTGTCATATTATTCAGTGTAATTTAACTGAAGTTCCTATATGCAATTTATGAAACTGTTTGTTACTTTAAGGTATTTGGAAACATCGCCGAAAACCCGTTGGAATCCATCAACAGACACAACAACTTCCGGAACTTCATCCAAGGTCTGATGTTGCTATTTCGGTGCGCGACGGGCGAGTCCTGGCCGAGCATAATGTTGTCGTGCATAAAGGGCCAACCTTGTGACGAGAAGTCCGAAAAAGATCCGAACAGCTGCGGATCGAATCTGGCGTACGGATACTTCGTCTCCTTCATATTCTTCTGCTCATTTCTCGTGAGTTTCCATCCACCCAAAAATTGCGAAAACTATGTTCTAATCGTGCATAATTTACAGATGTTGAACTTGTTCGTTGCCGTCATTATGGACAACTTTGACTATTTAACACGTGACTCGTCCATCTTGGGCGCCCATCATTTGGACGAGTTTGTTAGGATATGGGCGGAATACGACCCGAACGCGACGTAAGTTTATTCGTATTTCAGTTATAGCAATTGATTTAATTTTTTTCTTTTTGAATACAAGGGGGAAGATACTGTATCAGGAGATGTACGATATGCTGAAGAACATGGATCCACCACTGGGTTTCGGTAATAAGTGTCCAAATAGATTGGCGTACAAAAAGCTGATCAGGATGAACATGCCTATGGACGCGGATGGTAAAGTGAACTTCACAACAACGCTTTTCGCGTTGATCAGAGAGAACTTGGCTATCAAAATGAGACCAGGTAAATTGAACTTCATCCATTGATCATTTTTGTTATAAAATGCTTCATATTTAGCCGACGAAATGGACCAAGCGGATGATGAACTGAGGGAGACGATTAAGATCATTTGGCCGCTTCAGGCTAAGAACATGGTAAATCTACTGGTACCTGCGACCGACGAACTGAACAATGGGAAGATGTCGGTGGGAAAAATATATGCGGGTCTTTTGATCCTGGAGAGTTGGAGGACGACGCGTTTCGGGCAGACCGAGGCGCCCGGCGGGAACCAAGTGAGTTCAATTCCAATTCCAACACTATCTTTATAACTCTGTTATAAAAAAAAAACGCAAATACAAGAAGCAAACGATTTCGGGTTCAGTTTTCGAAAAATTTTATGTATACTATCGATGAGAGGGAATTTGAAATGGGGCCTCCTCGCCCGGAAACGATCCTTGACTTGATCTTCCGCATAATTTGTGTTCGTAGTATTTCCTACATACTGCCAACAGCACGTTTGTCTACTCTTTATGATTTTGTTATGTTTCTATTTTATGACTTTATTGTCTTTATTTCTTTATTTATTATTATTAAGGAGATTAGCTCTCAGTCTAGCTGTCCCCCCTATAACTGTTTGTTTTAATCTATATTTCAGGGTTTTGGAAATAGCCCCTCAGCCAATCACGCGGTAGTATATTAATTAATCCCTCTTAATAATTATTTTTCTTAATCTTAATTACAATTTCTTAGTCACGTACTTTGAATTTGAACTCCACGATTTATTTTTTTAGTTACGTTTCTAGATTCATGTTTTTTTTTTGTGTTTATTTATTTTGTTCATTAATTATTTTATATTCTTTTAGTTTCTTCAAATCTCGTAATATATATATTAGAGTTACAATATGAATGCAATAAGTTTTGATGATTTTTTTAATTTAGACGAATATCTATATATATTCTCATTCATAGTACAGTCCTGTAGTAGACGAAGACACACTTGACTTGACTTAGATTTTTGTGGAAGGTTTAGTGTGTGTGCGTGCTATGATCTTTTTTCTTGCACTCGTTACTTACTTTATTCGCTCCTTAACTTGTTCATGGGTGTAAATAACTTGGTTCTCCATACCCTCTTAGCTACCGTTTTACATTTATACCGTAGTTAATTCTGCATGAGTAAAATTCATATAATTTGGTAATTTTTCAAACATTTGGGTCAGAGATATTCCTTTCAAATCGTATACAACTTGATCAAGAAAATTTACAAATTATATATATTATTAACAATACTAAATCAAAGAACATTTTAAAGTAAATTTGAAAGCTATGAAAATTTTAATACAAAAATGAAAATTGTATTAATTTTTGTAACTTTAATTCTAATATTTGAATCTATTCTTATATCTTCTAATACTAGTTATCATTAAATATAGATATTACAGCAAACTATCCAATTAATGACATTTATGTTTTCGGAAAATATTATTATATTTTATTAAATATAATTTAGTCTAGAATTCTTTATAATTAACAATAAATAATATAGCATCTAAAGTATATGTATCAATTCTTGGTTTTTTGAATTTACTCAAAATGTATTTGATATGAATTTTCATGTAATTTTATACAATTCTCTTAGATCATCGATTTTCATGGAATATCTCTAGAAAGTTGTGAACTTTTCGAAGGCAACTAATAATTTAGCAGACCTACATGTAAATATATTCTCTTTTTTGTTTCGGAGAAGAACTGTTACTAATTTGTTTAACCGTTTCTTGCATGCAAAGCAATTTACAATAGTTCTTCCGACCATCTACTTCTTTAGTGCATTCTTTTTGGCTATTATTCAACTGTACATATATATAATTCTTTTCGTTTTCCCTTCTTTACAAATTCGTTCAATTTTGATCATTCTTTAGAGCTGCTGTACATATTTTGGTTCTAGAGTAATGAGGCGTTTCGTTTAACAAATCAAAAAACAATTGAGAATATTACATAAACATATCGCTATTTTCTTTTGTTGATCACAGAGTAAAAGGGTTTTGTTGATTATGATTTTGTTGGACTTAATTATTTAATTTACAAAAAAATAATAATATAATTAAAACTCTCGATTAGGTAATGATTTTTGTTTGTTAAATAGAGAGTAAGCGCTTTAGTGGTATTATTTATAAAGCTAAGTTGTGTTGGATGGTGTATAGAAGGCGACGTTTTTTGACTGCCTCTTGGACATGGCCGGACATTTGGGCAGTCGCACTGGCTCGATAAGCCTGGAGGGTGCTCCCCTTATGGCAGGACACGAGCACTCCGATAATCACCATCACCATCCAGAGGAAAAGTCTTTAGTCTCCTTAGCCAGGAGAAACACCAAAAGAAGATCGCTCAGGTATTGCGGCAAATTCAAAACACGAACTCTCATATATAGATGATTAACCGGAATACATGTGGTCTGTTGCAGGAATAAAAAGGTGAAGAGAGACGTCTTGGTGGTAAATTTTGATGTGATTAGGGAACAGAATAATGTTTAGGTTTAGGAATTCCTAAAATTCGTAACTTTATGGACGTTTTCCAGATTCACAATAAATCGTTGGAAATTTTTGTTCCTTTCGATATGAGATAGATTAATTGATTAATGACTTAACAGATATTTAAATATATAGTATCAGGAATAGAGAAGGTACCACGTGTTTAGAATGTTTATTTTATTTGTTCTTGTTTAGAGAATTAGTGAACATTTTAGGGGGAGCTCAGTTTTCGCTCCTCAACCGTTTAGTCCATACCAAAAAAAAAATATATATATATATACGACAAGCAACATTTTCAACCAAAAAAAATGATAATAATTATAAAAATAAATAGAAACATACATTTATTTATATAAGAACATTCTACATTTATTTCTTTGCATGCGTCGATTCATCATATATATATCTGTGTATGCTTTTACTTTACTTACTTAGTCAACTTCTTCATATCGTTGAGACTACTTAGCACTGAGTCAGCATGTTTATTTTTCTTACATTTGTTGCATGTTAATTTCTCTCTTTTTTGGATTTGAGTCTTTGGTTATTCATTTATTATAACAAAAAAAAATAATAACAACTTGGATGATATACGGGACATAGTATGAATGGGATTTGATTTACTTAGTGCAATTTTTTTTTGTAATACCTTTTCCATAATTGTTAAAACATTTTCCTTTCGATTCACCTTTAGCGAAAACGTACTGACTGTGGAATTACTTTGCTTAGGCTATGGAACTTCAAGACGTTTTAGGCTCTAGGCGTCCTTCTGTTGATAGCATGGGGGAAACCCACTTGCATCCAGCTGGTTATCCAAATACCGTCAGAAGATCACCAAGTATAAGGTTTGTTTCTTTTATAACACTATTTTCTACAAGATTTTATGTAACTACTGCGTGTTTGCAGGCATTGTTATTCTCCTACGTTACAAAGAAGTCCTTCGCCCAGGCGAAAAGCTCCTCATCATTTGCACCACGACATTGGTTTCTCCGATACCGTCTCGAACGTCGTGGAAATCGTCAAGTATGAGCAACACAAGGCTTCGCAGAAACATCACCGGTCTGGAAGAGGTAAAAAAAAAACTACCACTTTTTCTCTTCGTCACTTCTTGAAACTTTCAATTCATCACACCGTACTTTCTCTACTCTGTCCCTATTTCGCGATCAAAAAGTTCCCAGACATATTTGTGTAACATAAATTATTTCATAGAGACAGATTTTGCGAGATACATTTATTATGTTGTTTTTTTTTTAATTTTACAATATACTCTGACAAATAAAAACTTTGCCGGATCAAATGTCTATTTTTACATCTAACATCAGCACTTAATCCGCGTTTTTAGAATACAATATTACACATAAACAAATTATTCTTAAATTCAATAAAATCAACATATATTTTGTTAAATACGTGTAGTAAATACTTAATGATGATATTATAGCGTTGACTAACCTAAAAGTTTAGTAACATAGTAAAATTAGTATCTTCTACTAAATATTTAAAAATAAAAAATTTCTTCACTAATTGATACTGATATGATATTTAAAATACTGTTTACATTATAAATAATATACGCTTATTTGCATATATTGAATATAATTTTTAAAATATTTAATATTTATTTGTATGTTTACTGCAGAGTATCAAACATAACTAACTTTCAATAACAATAAAATATATAATAAACGTAACACAGTTTGTTTTATCGTCCAAAAGGCTAAAAATATATGTATAAAATACATTTTATAATAGTAAAAAAACTTGTAACTTTAAATTAAGATATATGAAAAGAGCTGGTGTTAGTATAATTTTATTACTACAAAGTTTTCGTTTTATTATAAGTACTAATTCTATTTTAGAACACATTATAAGAAAAATATTTTGAAATTATTACTAAATATTGACAATCTATTTCTTAATACTACTTAATGCAATCTGTCGCTAAACACATTAAGTAAATTTGTTGGTGGTAAAATTGTTCTGTAGATAGAAAATTTAACAGTATCCAGCTTCCATCTGTATTACTTTACCAAACTAACAACTATTATAAAAAGAAACCATATTTTGTCTTTACTATTACTAAATAATGCTTTGAAATACTTATAATTTCAATATTTTCAATAAATATTTGATTTAATATTGTTCCATTTTCATAGATTTATTATTCCTACTAATCATAATTTACTAGAATTTAAATTAGTAAAAAAGAAACATTTACCACAATTAGATCAAAAATAAATTATTATGAACAAAAAATAATCTTTAAAGAAGAGTTTTATGTCTTGAAATAATAAATAGTTTGATTTTTAATACAAATTATATAAAATTATCTCTAATAAATAAATTAATATATAAATTTGATATAATATTGTAAAGACATGCAAATATAAACGATGTTTACACTTAGTATTAGGCAATTTTTGTAGATCTTATTAAATTTGCATTTATTGCTAATAAGAATTTATAAATATTAAGAAAATATAACGAAATTGAAGGACATAAAATTTCTATAGGATTCCTTTTCGGAAGAGAGGTTTCTTGTTGGAAGTGTTTCAGATGATTGCGTCTTTGGTTGCACATATCTCCCCAAGTAAATGGTCGTGTACTTAAGAACCCATGAGCTCGTGGTCGGATGAGTTTTGTTTATTTTTTGTTTGTTTTGTTTTTCTTGTATGAAAATTGAATAGCATAGTCCGGGAACTTTTTGAACCGCTGCCTTCTTGATCGTTTCTCATTCTCGTCCTAGAACCGAAATCCGAAGAATAAACTATTGTTGTTGTTGTTGTTATTTTGCTTGTCTAGGAGAGTTTTTGGGATCGTGGTCGGCGTCTACGAGTCCCGCTAGATCACCATCCCCGACAAACGGAGGCCGTCCATCCCATTATGGATCTAGGCTTAGCACTTTAAGACAGACGCGTCGCGGCGGAGCGTACGGTACCACGAGCTTGTGCCAGAGGTCGAGGTCACCGAGCCCCACGCACCCTGTGCCACATCAGCACGGCCCTCCGACAATCGGTAATTTATCAGAAAACCACCTGCCAACCGCGCCGAATCTCCCATATATTCATATATAATTCTCTGTTCTCTTCTTTATTTTTCATACTTTTCACACCTACTACTACCATTTTTGGTAGGGGGTTTAGTTTAAAAACGGATGCGCTTCAGTTCAGAACGTGTCCTCCTCCCTCCCCCCTCCGTGAGTTTTAAACGATTAAACTTTTAAATGTTGGTAAAGCGAATAAGAAACCACCCTCGTAGAGCATCCATATATATATATATCTCTTTATCTGTTGATGGCATGCAAGTGTCCAAACATACATATTTATATACATCTCTATACCAGAAACATCTCTTATCAACAAATACAATATAATTATATCAGCTCCAAAGTCTCATTTTGGTAGCATGAGGCGGCACGGACTCGATGCTCGCATGACCTACTCTTACTGACTTGTATTATGTGTAGACATCGTTCAGCATGTTACTAACATCTACAAATCTCATAACAGTATCAATTATTTTTGTTCGACGTCAACAAAACCCGAACACGAAAACAACAATAATATTTATATATTTTTTTTGTTGGAAACTCACACCGTATTTACTTAGGGTACACTTATTATTTACTTATTTATTTAATATTAATGTAATTTCATGTGCCTAAATGTCCCGCATACTATAAAAACAACTGAAATCTTAGCATCAGAAATACATGTAAAGCAAAATGTGTTTCAATAGAACATGAATTATTCATTGCCAATAAATGTGTAACTATATTGTTTCATTTACAAAATTAGTAAATGAAATGGGAATAATATTTATTAAATTTTAATTGATCGTTAATTTTTATCAAATTGTTTACATATCACATGATAATTAAATTGATTTCTGTAATAAATTAACACGTTAAGGGCAGCGCAAATCGGTTTGCCTGCAGTGAGAAAATTCCAAATTACAAACTTAGACTTTTCTTATACATTTTTAAATAGTGTATAACAATTGTGAGAAATGTGTCTCGCAAATTATTTTGTAAAGTATTCATATATTATGTCACAATATCACTTATTATTCTAAATTGCTTCAAAAATTATTAAAATATGTATAAGAAATTTATATTACAATTTATACTCAGTCAAAATCAGTGGCGTGCAAAGCGACAAAAATATTATTCATAATTTATGACCCTCCGGTGGGTGCTGACATAAAATGAAATTAAAATATTTCATATGATGCACATTGATGTTATTATGATTGTATGTTGTCAGTAAATGTACGTTTCTGATGGAATGATTTTTCAGTTTCGTTGTTGTTTCCTATATTTCCCCTGTATCGTTAAACAATAAGAATTATTCTGACGTTTTTTAGCTTGTGCAGTTGTTGGATTACCGATGCATCACTCTGCGGCGCACTTGGCCAGCGTCCAGCATAGCCACCCCATGTTGGGCAGCAGAAGAGGCCAAGGAAGGAGGTTACCCCCGACACCCTGCAAACCATCCACGCTGCAATTGCGACCAGGTCCAATCAATTTCCCCAAGCTCAACGCATCACCCACCCACGTAATTATATCTACTTATTACTTACTTATTATATCTATAATATTAATATTATGTGTCTCTTGAGACACTGTTTATACTGTCTCAAGTAATTTTACCATGCATTTGCTAAAGAGTACAACAGTATTTAAGAAGTAACATGTAGTACAGGCAAACCAACCAGCGGCCCAATTGAAGTTTTCAGCTTCTATAATTTGAATTTTGATATATAAAAACAATGAACTATTGAAATATTATTATAGACTTCTTTTTCACTCGTAAAGACAATATACAAATCCCCACCTAAATTCCACGTCTAAATTCTAACATTTTTCTAATAACAATAATATAGTATGGAAGTATTATCCAAAAAGTACAGAAGTATTCATCACTTTCTATATGTTTTAAGTAGCGCTATAATAATGAAATGACTAGAGATATGGTTTTGTCATGGTCACAACTAGATTTAGAGCACAAAATTTGATATTTTATTTATTTTTTGTAATGTTCGGATTGCGTTTCATACTTCTGTTACATATTTAAGTAATATGAAGTTAAGTTATATAAAACATAACTTAATTATATACATTTATTCAAACTTACTGATTATTCTATTAATTAATTAATATAATATCATTATTTGCAAGAGTATCATAACTCTACAACAATAAAATTTAATTAAACACGAGTATTTGAATACTCTAATACTATGGTTACCTTTAATTGCAAATATTTTATTGTTTTAATATAATACTAAGGTGACTAACTATTTTATGTGCAAAAAGAGTAAGGAATTCCATTCCTTATCACTATTCCGTCTTTTATCACTATTTTACACTATTGGCTAGGATTAAATTACTCCAAAATTATTTGTTCATTCTTTAAAACTAGAAGTACGAATCCATCATCGTCTTTATTTTATTATTAAGTACAAAACAGTCCAAATAGTTTTTTTTTAACAGTTTTCAAAAAGAATACAATTTATGAAAAAGTAGTACAAAACTACATAATGGAATACCGTTTGTCGCCTCATATATACAGTATATAGTTTAACTCTACGAAAGGCCAGAAATTCTTAAATTAATAAACGCTCTCTGTTATTTGACAAAACAAGAACTACCTTCACAAGGACATTTTGACCGTCACGTAATTTTTTTGTAAAGCATGCTCTGGTTGAAAAGTCACTGCTTCTGCTATGCATCTTACATGTCGTGCAGTACAATTTTCATCTGCAAGAAATGTTGTTGTCTTGTACTGAATATATATCCAAATCAAAATTTTCACTCTTTGTATGTCTTAAATTTTTGTCAATTTGAGTTTAATTGAGGTAATTATAACATCAAATAATTTGTCTTTGACAAATTTTATAATTGCATGAATGCATATTAAAAGCATTTTAGTATGTTTTACGTTCAGATATAAATATTTGATTGTCCAATGCATCCTCTCCAAGGGCATATTATCAAGTGTATTTAATCCAGAATTCAATCGATAACAATATGCCCATGCCTATATTTTATTGGCATAATGGTTTTGAAATATATACCAAAAGCGTTAGTGTCTTCGTTCTCCAATAGACTTTTAATAAATGACTCGATCATTATAGAAAAAGCTTCTTTATCCATCTCATGCAACAAAGCTCTCAGATTGTTATATACAATTATCTAGATATTGATACAAAAAAATATTAAAATGTTTAAAATTTCCAATCTATACATTGGAATATTTTATTTAAATGTTTTCTCCTAGCTCGGACCATATGCCATGTGCAATATAAACTAAAAAGTAATTAATTTTAGTTACTCAAATTCATCTGGTTCCATCACTTGCACCCCCTCAAAGAGTTAACTCCATAGCAGTATACATATTTGCTTTAAAAATTACTAAATTATAACTAATTGAAGAGCACATCTATTCTTATTAGTACTATTTCTATTAAATTTAATTTCTATTACAATTGTTAACAAAAAATATTGTATATTAGATTCATTTATTCAATTCTATTAGAAGTGATTGTCAAGAAAAGCTTGGATAAATGATTAATTTTGTACTTGTTTCTTTGTAGTTGAATACGCAAATGCAGTCGCATTCGGCGCACGCGACTCCCCACAGCAGCGTGAACATGTCCAGAGTGGATCAGCAGATGCAGCAGCAGCCGCAACTCCAGCAGCAGCAACAGCCTCCGCCTCTCCGGGACTCTCTGAGGGATATGGTTTCGACGTCGGCGCCCGCCTCGCAGCGTGACACCGGTCAGACGCCGCTCAGCTTCGAACAGGCGATGGCCATAGGTCGTGGAGGTCGAGTGCTTCCGAGCCCCGTTCCAAACGGTTACAAACCGAAGCCCACCAGATCCCGGCACTCCGACTCCGATGACGACGACTGGTGCTAACACTAGGGGTACCATTACTCGACCCTCTGAACCGGGTTCCGAGTAATCATGCAAGAGACTGTACACACGTCGCATAAGGCCTTCGAGGAATTGATTACACTGTGTTTTTTTCTTTGTGCTTGATGTGAAAACTCTGAACAGTGCGGTGATGTACTCTTAAACCAAAAAAGAAAAATTACCTTCTAAGAATTAATTCATTCATTCATCCATTGATTTAACGAGCGAGAAACACGGCGGACGACGGCGAAGACAAAGAAGAAACCAACAAACTATTTATATATATATATAATAATAATCGTTATTTTGATTTCGAGAGCCGCCACCAAGTAATTTAGCGTATACCCAAGACATTTAAACAAATTACTGCCATTACCTAAAAAATACAAAAAAAAAATGATATAATAATATATTTAATTGCCATTAAGTTGTCTGATGAAACTGTATATGTATATATACATTCGATTAAAAGAAAAAAGGTATATATACATATACTCATTAAACCAAAAGGAAAAGAAATATAATAAGAAGGAGGAAGATGATAAAAAAAGAATAATAATATTGCAAATAGAAGTGTATACCTGTGTACATATTGTGTAAATTTTGGTAGATTTCAAATTTACATGGATGTCATTTTTACCGAAGAAGAAGAAAAAAACAAATAAGAGGAGCGTTTGAATAAGACGTCGAAGAAGAAGAAGAAGAAAAAACAAACTCTGATAAATAATAATAACAAAAAAAATAATAATATTATATAATTCTTCCCTAAAGTGCTTTAAAATCACTAAATTTACGAAAAAAAAAAACAAAAAAAAAGGAATAAAAATAATAATAATTATCCATTTACTTGTTACATCAAATATGAAACTTAGCATGAATTATAATTATACTTGTTGAATTTTCTTGTGGAAAACCTTTTTATTATTACTCTATATATCTATGTATATGTATATTGATCGGTGATTGTTTTCGGTTCCGTTCTTCGGTTGTTTATTGTTTTGTTTGGAATTTAAAAATGAAAGGCGGCAAAGATAATTATGTTGAAAAAATAATAATAAGAGTTTATTATATGAAGAAGAAAAAAAAAACAATTTGTACCACGGTTATTTCTGTGATATGAACGGCGATGGTAGAAAGATCACGGATCCGGCGGAGGTCTGTGCGTTCTGTTTCCGTTTCTCGTTGTTTCCGGTTTCCGTTTCATTCTCTCTCTTCAGTATCACCGAAGGCGGGCGCGCGCGCTCATTTAAACCACAAAACATGTAAAGAACGTCATATTTTCTATACGTACGTACATTTTATATATGTAAGAACCGTTTTTTTTTTTAACTATATTGGTCAACATAAGCAATACTATATAACTCTTCCCGATTCTTCGAGAAACATTGTACAAACTGACGGAAAAAAAATAACACCAGCAAAAAAAAAGTAAGATCAACAACAACAGCATTTCCTTGTGTCTTATAATTAACTACTAGTTCTCGCTGAATTAGGTCTTCTTTCATATGGAGCTAACGATTAATGTTATACAGATTTTTGTATAAAAAAGAAACCGTTCATTGTAATTTTACGTTGTTTTACTCTATTTTAGATTTTTTAAAACTGACAATTTGGCGTCTAAATACATATATATATAATTCACTTGTAATGGTTTTCCACCTTATTTAAGTTATAAATATAAGATTTAATATTCTCCCTCTCTCTCTCTCTATCTATCTCTATTTCTCTCTCTGTCTCTATTTACATTCAGTCATGCAAAAGTCCTTTCTCACTGGAGGACGATTCGAAACATGCAAATACACCTGTGATTACTGTTTCGAAATTGATCGTTTCTATATTAAACTGATCAGGACAATCATCACCAAATTTAAATAATATAAAATTGCACGTTAATAAATTAATATTATTAATACTTTGCTGATTAAACTAGAATTTCACAAAAAAAATTATTTAAAAAAAATACATTTATTCAATAATATTGTTTAGAAATTGATTTACATTAAGTTTTTTTTTATATTTTTTTAAAGTTTTATATATAAAGAAAGATAAAATTAATTTCAAAAATAATATTAAAATTCGTAATTTTTTAATCAAATTTATTAATTTCACTTAATTAAATTAAATTATTTCTTATTAAATAAAAATAGGTTAGATGCAGTTAAAGAATTATTGACTAGATTTTCTTTAAAACTTGGTTTAATATAAAAATGATCAAATTTGGATAACAAAAATAAACATTCGCATCATTCATCAAAGTAACTTAAAGTGACGTAATATATAGATTTAAACGAATGCAATAATCTAATTTGGCATAGAATATTGAAAATTACCATGACAACCGATAGTCTTTTAATTATCTAGATGAAGAAAAGATAAAGAAGAACAGACTCAGGAATCGTCTCAGACTTAAAAAAAAACAAAACAAACAAACAAAACAAAAGAATTCAGAAATGTCGAGTAGCAATCAAGAATCGGGGGGCATCATATGTTTTGGAAATGAATTACATAATGATTATAATTTGAAGAAGGACAATGAAACAAAAATAACATTAAGAAGCCTTTACATGTTTTCATGTTTAAATCAACGTTTCATGCAGAAATTAATGTTAAACTTTTTGCATTTGAAAATACCAAAAAGAATAAAAGGAGTAGGAAAATAAAGAAATAAACAAAAAAAACACAATTAAATAAATAAGGAGAATATTTTCTGTTGCGTTTTGTTGTTGTTGTTGTGAAGGGGTAAGAAAATCCCCCGAGTTGAGTTTCTATCTTTGGTTTGTTGCGAGCGTTGTTGTGACTGGCGTCCCGGGCAACTGCCGTCCCGTGATCTCATACTGAAAAAGTGGTTTTGTTGTGGATGAGTTATCGTTTCGATTTTTTGAACAGAAGGCAGAAAACGGGACGCCGCCGTAGATTTTCTAATTGACGAAAAAAGAAGAAGAAGAGATGCCTTATATTATAAATGAAAACATAATAATAATAATTATAAAATAATAATAATATAGTATATGGTATGAAGATGGGAGGAGGAGAACAGTTAGATGAAATTGAAGAGCGATCTTTGGAAAACAAAATAATCGAAAAACAACAACAAAATAAAAAACAAATACGCGCGTTTATAGCAGTTGCAATCGTTGAAGGAAGTGGATGGAAAGCTACCTTTGGCTGTAAATATTAAAGTGTAAGGGATGATCGGGGCATCGCGGGGTGCGAGCATTTGTAAATAAAGCCCATCGGTGCTTCGATTCGTTCTCGTTGAACAAAAAGAAGAAACAACTGCCTAGTTAGGAATAATAACAATATGTATTATCTCTTCTCTCTCTCTTTATCTACTTAACACAAAAACACATACAAAAGAAGAAGAAAAAAAATAACACTTGGAGAAAAAAAAAGTGTGGAGTGGAATGTGTCTTCTTTTTTTTTTATTTGAAAATCTTCATTAGCCATAATTACATATATATATATATATTATATATACCCCAAAAAAAAATGTGAAATTGTATTATTATTATTACTAATCTCTGCCAATTGAACAAAATGCGGGTCTTATCTATACTCTACAGTAGCTTAGATGGAGGAAAGGAGGGCATCGAAATCTACCAAAAAACAAAATTTAAAAAATGTGGGAGATTAAAGACGGGGCGAGCAAAAGGTTGTTTTTTCAGTTTTTTTCTCTATCTTCATTTTTTTTTTTTCATTTTTCTTAAATTTTGTTTGTAAGCATGTGTGTGTGTGCGTGTAAATCTCGTGTCCGTGTGGCTTTCGCAGAGAAGACGTCGAATTGCAATTAGTTTGAATAAAAATGAAATAACTGAATGTACGTTTTTCATTTGTTCTTAATTTGTTTCTAATATCAAAAAAAAAACAATTACGAGAGGAAAAATATAAAGTATGCTGTGTTCCCTACCGTTACGTGTAGCCTCGTCACTTTTATAAATATATTTAAAAAAAAAATATTAATTATTATTATAATAATGGGTAAATTTGATGAATTGTATATTACGAGTTATAAAGTCCAAATTTTTGATAAAAATGAGCGATAATTTCGGCGCGTTGTACATATTTATATACATATTGGTAACGATGGATGAGCTATATACTTATATACATACTTATATTTTAAAGTCTAGAACTTGTTGAATACATGCTGAACCATCCGTATTTCAAGAATGATGCTGCGTTACAAGTATACTTAATAATTAAATTAAATATTTAAATGAGGAGGAGAAATTATATAAATATTAACACACACACAAAAAAAAACTATAAAAACCCTGTTGATCAGTTAAAATTATAAAGTATTATCTTGTTATATAAATATATACATCTATATATTTAATGATAATTTAGGCAAAGCATAATTCTTCTATAGTTAATTAAGATCGAACAGCAGCATTTTTGAAGTTGGTTAAAGTATGTACAAAAGCAATTTAAAAACAAATCGATGATAATGATGATGATTATTAATATTATTGTTGTTATCTGATGGTACGAAAAGGATATTATTGTTTATTGAGTGGAGACAACAAGCAACACAATGAATGGATTCGATGAAATCATACAATCTATGATACAACAAATTCTGTTTGTCTTTTTTTTCGTATTATGTTATTGGTTTTATATATTTATGTAATGATTATTCTTGAAATATCAGTTAGGAATTTGCATTTAGTGTTTAAATAATATTATCATCGCTTTAAAGCCCACTTCCTTTCTTTTCTTTTTTTTTATTAAGGAAAAAAAAACGACAAGGAAACTCGTAAAATAAATTATATTATAACTAAAAAAAACGAAAACACAACCCCCCCAATGCATTTCATTCTTTACTCACGCACTTCTCTTCTGATCATCAACTTTATTTTCACGCATCTCGGATGTAGTGCTTCTTAGGTTTTCAATGCACACACGGTAAGTATGTTTCTATTGATGATATTTAGTTGTAATAAATTAATTGCGTATTTCTGTAATGTTTCCATTCATGAAGTGAGATTTGATATTTCATAATTGAATGAGTATTTTGGTCCAATAACTTGAACATCATTTAGTTATAGATCTAAATGTTTGAATCAAATGATATTATGGATGCTATCTAAAAGCTAAAAATAACACTTAATTTAACAATTGGTCAAATGCCATTTTTGTTAGAAGAAATTATATATTAAATTATATAATCAGTACATGAACTGCTGTACTCTGTTATAATGTTTGCTTAAATTTTTAACTAATTAAGTCGCTCTACCCACGATTCCGTGGGCGCCGGTTCGAATCCTGGTCAAATCAGGTTCACCATATAGACCTTCAGCCATGTCGATGATGGACAATGACAGTGTTAAGGATAGCAGTAGATTCACAGTGAAAGGAAATAGTGGAATCGTAGAGCATCAATGAAGTTAACCTACAAGACGGCAGCCAACCAACAAATTACAGAAGAATATAATGGTAAATCTTACATTGGGAAGTTTACCAAAAAAACAAATATCTACCGCCATTAGATTTAATTAATGTTTGCAGGAATAAGATTGTAAATTAAATATACTATGACATACAAAAAAAACTTGATAATATAGTGCCCAAAAGTCGGTTAAGTATCATTTTTGTAAGAAGAAATTTAATTCAATATTCAGTACATAAACTGCTGTATTCTGTTACAATTTTTGCTTAAAAATTTGGCTCAATATATTGATAATATAGGGACCAAAAGTCACTACACCATTTTAAAATGGAATAGTTTTTTCAATTTGTAATAATTCATATTTATGCTTTTATAAACAACAAACTTGCTTATTCCTTCATTTGTCTTTACGGATGTTGATTTCAATTGCTGAATGGTTCGAGAATGTTTATGGTATATAGAAAAATGTGCCTTAAGAGTTCAATTAGTTCGTGAAGAGTATGGCCGGTGCACCATCTTGTTACAACCATACTTCTGGTATGTTGGTTGTCTGACCCAAAAAATGACAAGATTATGGTATAGTGACTTTTGATCCAAGTTTTCAAGACTTAAATAGGTAATTTTAGTATAAGAATTAGATGAACTATATCGTATTACGTTGTTTATAAACTGATTTTAGAATTTTTCTGATATAAATAATTAGTATTTTTATATAACTAAAAGTACTTCTATATAGTAATGATCATTAAATTTCAAGAAGATTTGGGAGGTCGTTGAATGCAAGAACAAATAATTTGAAGCATCACAAAATATTTATGAAAAGATATGAGTAATAAGATTTAATGTTCTTAAGTGCAATTCTAAGTATTGTACAAATGATCAAAACATTCGTTATGGCTTCAGTTTCGATACAGGATTTGAACTAGATATTTCTATTGAAAACTATATACAGTCAATACCTCAGTTAACGTTGCCTCTTATAACGAATCTTCATTATAACAAAGTCTGAAATTTAACATAAAAACATATGTACTTTTAATATGGGTTATCAAGTAAAACAATCAACAAAAACAATTTTCAAGAAATTTGGTGCTTCGAGACATCCTACCGATCTTATCACGTTGTACACATGCATTTCTGTCAATGTTGTGTTGCTTCTAACAAACACGACTTCCCTGATTCAATGGTTGAGTTAGCAAATCTTGTTTGCAACGATGACAAAGAAAATGAAAACGAATTTAAAGAAGTTCTTTACAAAAAAAATGTTAATATTTAAAGGTTTTATTTTCCTGTTTTTGTTAAGTGTTAATTGCAATTAAAAAGAAAAGAGCACAAAAAATCAACTTTTGGACTTATATTTTAAACATTAATATTTTTCATTTTACATACTGAAGTTGACTGAATATTTAAGAGAACTTTTCTATGTTTAATATAAGGTTTTTATTTTTTTTACGAAGTAATCAAGTTATGCCAGTACACTCTTTGTACAAGATAAAGTTTTATATATCTATATATAATATAGTAGTAGCAACTTTTATTATTAGACTTCCTCTAGTTTCCATCTTAACTAAATCTTTGCCTCAAGGTACAACAGTCGTCTATCTTATGTAAATTCACGTTCATGTTAACCTCAATCAATCTAACCTAACTATATTATTATAGCTAAACCATCTTCATTTTACTAGACTATCATCCTACTACCTTCATAGTTACTAAAGCTAAAGCAATATTTCTATATTAAATAAGGTGACAAACAGCTACAGATTAAATAGTCGGTGCTTTTTTAATCCGTTATAAGTGCATAGCTTAAAATAGATTCGTTGCAACTAGTTACTTGAACACGATTCTAAACATGTTAAGAAATATTTTAATGTTTTTTTTTAAGTTTATATGTACTATAGCCACAATGCGAAGATTAGTGCATAGGTATGCATACGAATTATAAGCGTTTACATAGGTTGGTATAGAAATATGTGGAAGTTGGTATCGTTGCAACGGTAACATAGCGGTAATGCAATGCAACTTTGCCAAACTCTTCCGTTGCAATGCAATACCGTTGATTCCTGACATAATCCTTCGTTTTGTTTGGTTATGTAAATCGTATTGGATATTTTTGGTTTTTTAACATGAACATCGACGACAATTTGGCGTCTCTTTTGCAAGATTATCCAGCAATATGGGATAAGAGAAACGCAGGCTTCAAGGATAATTCGAAGAAGGAATACGCCTTCAAGGAACTAGCTTCCATCTTAAACACAACAGGTATATATGGAATATTGAATTATTTAAATTATTATTTAATTGATTATTTTCATAACTTTCAGTTGATGTTGTTGCTGCTCGATACAAAGCTTTAAGAGAGAAATACAGAAAAGAAAAACTAAAGTTGGATGTCTCCACAAGAAATGGAAGTGGTCACATGCATTATCGACAGTGGCACCTGATGCCTTCATTAAAGTTTTTGGATGATGTTCAAACTAAGAGAAAGTATTTAATTTTACACTCTCCAGTTTAAATTGCAAATTATTTATATTATTTGTATTCGGTTCAGAACAGTTGCATCGATTACAAAGAGCATTATGGAAAAATCTAGCACTGCAATGGCAATGCCAACTGTTAAGCAGGAACACGACGACGATGATGAATATGCAGACTCTGATATGCTGGATATGCCTGAATCACCTACCCAACTGTCACCTATGATGGTGCCAACGGCGTACGAATCGCGGACGTCCTCCAGCGAAAAGTATTTTCTTAGCGACAGACGCATTCTCACACTCATGACTTAATGCTGTATTTGTTTGCAGTTTGCATTTGCCAGATGCAATCATGGAAAATAAAGGTGCAAAAGATGGGCAAGATGATATAACTGCAATCATGGCAAGACTTGCTGCTGCAGCGGAAACAACTGCAGCCAAAGTGCGGCACGTTAAACCGGCAATTGACAATGAAGTTAATACCTTTACGAAATACGTGGAGCAGTGTCTCCATAACATCTCCGAAGAATACGTGGACGATGCGATTCGAGATATATACAATGTGTTGTACAAGTATAAAAAGTTACATAAGAAATGAAAATATCATAATTTATTAAACAAATTACAATTAGCATTTAGAATTTTATATAATATTAAACAAAAAGGCATTTTCCAATAGAAATTCTCGATTATCGAATTGGATGCGTTTCACGAAATTAATTCGTTTAGCGATACTTCATTTTCAAAAGTAAGACAATAGTATGACCAGATACATTTCTTCCTAAAGAAATTTTAAAACATGCTAGTTTAAAGTTGTTTGCGCTTCATTTGATAATGCTATATAGAGTGTTATTAGATTTAACACTAATCAGTTAACAATAGTACTTCATCCAAAATGAGGATTATTTTCAATAGAAGATAAAAAAAATATCATTTAAGTACCTTTTCTGAAATCTTTAGATGTTAATATATTTTCGGCAGGAAATTCTTTATTATCTCTAAATCTCTCACTGAAAGAACATCTTTTTGATTGCTTACATCCTCTTCTTCAACATTTTCGAGGTGGATAACTATATTTCTAATTTCTTGGATGTTATTCTCTTCTAGTACAACTTCTGGTCATATTTTTTTTGTGAAACTGCGGACCAAGCTTCATTATCAGAGATAAAGTTGACCGAAGCATGTCTACTTCAATTATTACGATCGATCTAACGAACTAACAAAAAGATTTGTCGATAAGCTTCAATAAGAGTAATATTTTGGAATTCTGGTAAATTATAACAATTTCATTTTTGAAGTTATTTCTTTATCTCTTTTCTTTCCTCCGTTTACTTCCATCTACATTTAGCAGGCGCAAGTTAAAATGTGGTGTGCGAGCTAAGTTGCATACTTGTGCACTCTTCAAAGTTGAAGGAACACAACTGCAAATGTGAAATAAGCCGGTGGCAATCGCAAGCCCGACAACCGAAATCCCGGCTGGCTCAAAATCCCGACAGTGTCTTTTTATGGTAATCGGGATTTCAAGCGTCGAGATTCTAATACAGCCGGGATTCTAATACAACCGGTTGTCGGGCTTGCGATATAGACCCAAAATACGTATACGTGCACTGATTATCCGGAGTCAGTTCCAAAATCAGAGGAAATATGATTGGGTAATTATGTTGCAATTAAAATCCATCATAATTCATTATTTTGCCTTTAATTTCAGATGATGAAAATGACGGAGGACTGCGAGCAAACTGATTAACACACATTGGATATTAATTCTTTTAATTAATACCCAAAGGAGGTTGTTCTCCACAAAAAAAAAGCAGAAAAAAAGACTGAAGACCAAGAATTATTATTTAGTTTATTTTTATATATAAATTATATATTTTTATGTTTATAAATTACAATTATTTATTTTGCTGATATAGGTTGAGAGATGAAAGGAGATTATTTTAATACATATAAACAATAATTGATATAAATCTCTTTATTAAAAAAAAAGTCACGAAGACACCACAAATGTAAAGTGAGAATTAAGTAAAGAATAAAACAATTGCTTTTTTTTTGCTTCCGCCTGATACAAAACAATTGTTAAAGTTATACTTCGCTCTCCATCCATGTACTGCAAGTAGCATCAATGCAAAATATAAACACATTTGTATCTTGACATTAAACAGTTCGTATAAATTTTTTCAAATTTTTATTTTGCGAATTTAATTTATTAACTCGGCACTGAGGTATGCTGAGGTACCCCTGATAGTTTTGCAGAAATCAAAGCCTACTAAAGTATTTAAACGTTAGACAACTAGTTATTATTGCTACGTTTTCGTTATTAAATCAATTTGTGTTGTAGTTTGTCTGTAAGTCCTAATAAATAATAAGAGAATGGATTCAGCAAAAATCGAAACGGGATGCCAGTTATTTAAGAGAATAGAGAAGAGACCAAATTTAGGTTATATGAAATTCCTCGGGGATCAACCGAATCCAAGAGATTTCATTCAGATAACCGGTGAAGCCGGCTCAGGAAAAACCCTGCTCATCACCGACCTAATAGCACAATGCATTTTACCGAAATCTTTAAATTACAACGGTTCCTGCGCGATCTTCATCAACACCGATCACCATTTCAGTGTGCTCAAGCTCTATGCACTAATGAAAGAATGCCTGAAAGATACTGATGTTGACATAAATGAAGTGATCGAGGAAAGTTTGAGCAGGTTGATCATCATGAACTGTTACAGCAACGAGCAGCTGAAGATAACTATTATGAATCTGGAGAAGATCTTGAACGAAAACGTTCTGATCAACTTCGTCGCTGTGGACAGCTTAAGCGCGTACTTTTGGTGCGATCAAGAAGACGTTAAACATTTTAACACTGCTTCGTATTACGTTAGGGGTTTGACGATGTCTTTGAGAAATGTTTACGGAAATAGAAACGTGATGACGGCTTTCACGGATAATCTGGAGAATCCTTTGAACGCCGGAGTGGAATATACGATGTTCTTGAAGAAAGGCGATGCGGGAAAACACGAAATGACCATTCACAATTCGAAAATTGGCACCGATTTCATCAGACATTACAATATCGGCAATTGCGTAGAATTCGTCGACTGATGTTGTGGTTGCATAATAAATGTTGACTAACTGACATTCTTGTTTTCATTCGTGATCGTTGTAAGCGTATTTGCACATTTCTAATTTTTTTTTTGTACACAAAGAAATTTTAACTTAACCTATTATCCTATACATAAACATTGACATTATTATTTAAGTATTTATTGAGTGTATATTTAAGTAGAAAATTCAATCCCAAGAGATGCCTCCAATGTGTTCCCCAGTTAAAAACAAAAGCAGTGGTAATATATTAAGTAGGCTGCAATAACAAATTAATAAATGTTCTTTAATCAACAGATGAAGCAAAGCCTATTCAAGGTCTTTACTTCAGGGCTAGAAATGAATCTGCTACAGAATCCAGTGATAGTGATGGTAAGTGTCAATGTTGCATATTAATAAATCATCGTTACTATATACATCATATAATAATTGCATATGTTCTTTTTCTAGAATCGTATAAGGATGAAATTGACAAGATGATGGATGACTTTCCAGCATTTGATAAATATTTTAATCTGGTTGGTCAGGTTGGTGGTGGCACATTCAGCACTGTTTATGAAGCTGCACTGAAAAGTGATCCATTGAGACGTCGCAGGTTTGCTGTTAAACACATTGTGCCCACTTGTCATCCAGACAGGACCAAATTTGAATTGAAATGCCTCAAGGAAATTGGGTAATTAATATACAATTTTAATCATTGATTAGAAGTAACTTTTAGGCATAAAATTCTACTATTAATCCTATTGATCTAATATTTGTATGGAAACAAATACTTACAAATATCAATATTACTCTTATAGAATCTCCTTTGAACTATAGTGTAAAGTTTTAGTCAGTGTTATAGAATACTTGGCAATTTATTTATTTTATATTTGTGTTTTTTTTACAGTGGAAAAGATAACGTTGCTGGAATAGACTTATGTTTGAGACATGAAAATAATGTTTTATTTGTGATGCCTTACCAACCCCATGACTTATTTGTCGTAAGTATTCAAAACGAACGATAATATCCTAAAACATCATATACATTTTGTAGGATTATGTTAGACTCATGGATCTTGAAGAAATTGTTAGTTATATGAAAAATTTACTAGTCGCCTTAGCCCGAGTTCACAAATTTAAAGTAATACACAGAGATATAAAGCCAAGCAATTTCTTATACGATAGAAAAACAAGACGGTTAGTGTTATTATGAGCTGTATCATAAACATATATATTAAATCACGAATGAATAATATTGTAGGTGTTTATTGGTTGATTTTGGTTTAGCACAGCAACAGGAAGATGCTGGTGCTAAGAAAAAATCGGAAAAGTCTTCGAAGAAACGAGATCCACTGTCTCCAGTAAGTTCGAATAATGTTATAATGATATTTGTTGTAATCCTTGAGATAGTCTAATGGACAGGTAACTGATGGAAAAGCGACAGATAAAAGGCCCGAAGGGCAGCAGGTCAATTTAGCGAAGTCTTCCTCAAATTCAGTCACAACTAAACCGGGCGTTTCCCTCGCCAAAGAGAACTTTATGAACTCCCGGAAGAGCATAACATGCATCAACTTCGAGCAAACACCAGATGCAATGCGAAGATCGAGAACAACGGATGCGTGCAAATGTTACGGAAAGCCCAGGCTATGCACTGCTTGTCCGCTGGACAACCCAATGCACGCGTCCAGGGCTGGAACTCCTGGATTCAGACCGCCCGAAGTACTCTTGAAGTATGCTCATCAAACGACAGGTAAACATTTGAAACTAACTGAATCAGATTGTACACAAATAACAAAAAAAATACAAAAGAAAGAGCAACCAACGTCGCGGATAAAACTTGCGAGTGGTGCCTGGTAATCTTAACTTTAACAATCTTGCATACCAGAAGTTTCGGCCATAAGATTATTATCTATTTCTTTACATTGATACTATGATTTGCATTAAATAACTTTATATTATTATTCAGTTCTTCCACTTTCGGACAAATTTGTTTAGTCACTTCTGTATAAAGGTTTTTACTCGTTTGCGAACAATTTTTTGATATAACTTCAGAACTACTGGCTACACATTTCTTTAAAAAAATTCTTACGAGCTTAGCGTCAGAATTATTATCTATTTCTTTACAATTTTAAAACATTACTAGTTATTATTTTTACCGCGTAATTCATTGAAAATTCTAAAATAAACTTTAGACGACTTTAGACACGTCTTTTTATGTCAAAGGGTTAAGAACTTTCTTACTAAAATTGAAGATGCAAGTGCTAAAATATGTGCGTTTCTAAGTGAACGAAAACTTTCGATAAGATAATATAAAATTATGTTTTTAAATCTGTTCTGTTTGTTACTTCATTTTAATTTCGGACACACAGTCTGCATCAAATAAGTTTAGTTTTCCAACACCAATAAATGTGCTTGGAAATTGTAATGAAATTTTTGAAGAAAACTTGAAAAAAAACAGTTGGAAATTTGTTGGAAACGAATGGTAATATTTATTATATAACATATAGAGAAAGGAATCTTTCCTTCTATCAAAACCTAAAAACAAACAATAATCGTATAAAAGTACATGCATAATACTAAATAACTTATATTAATATATTTACAGTTTCAGCGTCATAATCAAGATTTTATATAAAAGTTGTCATCGATTTATTATTTTATATGTACAACTAAATATGATCAATATATATTTTTTTATACAGCTGTGGATATTTGGGCGGCAGGAACAATTCTACTATCCATCCTCAGCGGCAGCGGGAATTTCTTTTCGAGTCCAAATGATATAGCCGCACTGGTTGAACTGGTAACCATATTCGGTTACGACAACTTGAAAAAGACGAGTCAAATGTTTGGTAAATTTATATTAAACCGATATAAATGAAATTGAAAATAACTTAAAGATTAAACCAATAATTTCAGGTCGATACTTTCTGTGCAGCGAAAATAGACCGCAACTGGATCTTCGGAAAATCTGTTGCATATTACGCAACAGAGGGACTAAACTAAATAAAGTACTATCAGGAAAGAAATGTGCAGATTGCGATCAATATAAGCGTGTCTGTTTATGCATCGGCGTGCCTTTGGACGAGGAGATCAAAGACGAGTTCCCAGAGGCCGCTTACCATTTGCTCCAAAGGCTCCTAGACGTGAATCCAGAAACTAGAATAACCGCCGAACAGGCACTGAAACATGAGTTTTTCGAAGTTTAAAAAGTATCGTCTTCGTCATTTCTCCTCGTCGTTATTATCGGAGGCGATGTGACTATCATCCGAATCCTCGCTGACTACTTTGTTCGCATCCCATTCGGTATCCGCGAATCTGAAACAAATTGATAACATTACAACAATAAATCGACAATTTAAAAAAATATGATATGGCCTTACTTTTGGAAAGTTACGTTCAGTTTGTTATCACCGAGTTTCTTGTTATTCCTTAACTTCTCTTCCAATGCGGGATCGCTCAGTGCCGGATCAATGGAATCTCCCAGGAAGGACTCAAAATGTATAAGGGCGAGGTCCTGCTTTCGTTTACGCTGAATCAAATTACCCAGATGCTCGAAGTTGAACTGCACTGAAAACAAAGAATAGTTACGAACTGAAAATGCGCGTGAAGAACTGCTTACCTTCTCTGGAAATCGCCGATTCAGATAATTTTAATTTCAGGGTGGCGTTTTCCTCGACGCACGACCGCACGCACTTGTTTACCTCGTCGAAGGTTGGAAAAACGATTTTCTTCCTGCATTTGAATTTCTTGTTGATGGCATGATTGATTTCGGGATGTTTCGAACTTCCGTAATCCAATCGGGCGTAATATAAGCGACCACTGTGCGGATCGCTTTCCTCCAATTCCATTATTTTCGCGTAGACATTAGTTGCGCGTTCCTTGTATCTGTAAATATATGTTTCCTATTAATTTAAATTACAACAACAAAAAATTGACGAATTCGTTAATTATTTAATCATTTGATATGAAATGTATTAAAAAAAAAACAACAAAAATTTAATGAATATTATTATTTTTTTAGACTGAGATATCGTGAATCTACATCATATATATTGTTATCAATTATTGATTAATTGACATTAGGAGAATACAAAATATTCAAGTCTTTGTCAATTTAAATGAATGCCTTTTAATTAATTTGTATACGTGCATACAATACTAACATTAATAATTGTTGTATTACATTTATATTTGAAATAGAATAATTAAAATAAACTTATATATCAAAACTATATTCCTTTAAGAATATTTTAATATGCTACACATTTGATTGGTCGCAATTAAACATTTAATTTTACTTAGTTTAAGTCTTTTTCTTTTAAACCTCCAGGCAGTAGAGTGGTCAAGCACAATTTCACCAGCTTAGTTTAAGTCAATCAATAATTATTATATAAAAATCATTTATATACATAAATTGTTTTTGCAATACCACAAAATACAGTTTCACTTTATGCTGTCGAGTCTCTTTTTGTGGTTTTAAAGTCCTCGATTAGTCCGGTTTCAAATAGGCAGAACTGATTAACTACATTAATCGAGGTATTGCTGTCTATATACACCTGACAGTTAAACAAATTCACAATATCTAAAATTGAACTTCTAATAATTGGTTTCTTACCTTTGCAATTGTGTATATTTTGAAGTATTTTCGTCTAAAACATTATCATCCTCATCACACATTTCCTCTAGTTTTTGTATCTTTTCACTTAACTTCCTCAAAATTCTGTCCAATTTTTTGACATTCTCATTATCTATCCCTTTACTGTTCTGCTGATTAACAAGATGTTTGTAAGCATCGTAAAAATACCTTATGCCATGCTGTGGTTGTTTCAACAAATTAGCTGTATACTCTTCAATAATGTTTTTAAATTCATCACTGCTACTGAAGTCCCCTGCCCTTTTGAATACCTTATAAAGCAATATAATTTTACTCTTCGCTTTGGCAATTATAGATTCAGCTTTTATTGTTCCTATGCAATTGTCAATAAACTGTTTAAAAAAAGCAGGGATTTCGTCAGAGTCTACCTCATTCAATGGTTCAACACATGCTACTGTTGGTAGAGTATCTTCTGATTTTTCTGTGGAAACTGGTGGATCACTTGATACCTCTTTCGAGGCTCCCGGCACCAACTCAACAGTTTTTACAACCTCTGTTTTAACATCTTCATCGTCTGAAAGTTGTATAATTTCAGTAACTGCTGCAGGGTCTATTTTTATTTTCTAAAAATGAATATTGTTAAGAATATCAATTTTGATCATTAATTTTCTTACTTTAGCTAAGGGTTCCTCAACTTTTATTACTCCGTTTTCTTTGTCTCCTTCTTCATCCGAAGATGATATAGCAATAATATCAACATTCATTATATTCTCAGTTCACTATGCACATGGATACACCGATAAACAATCATAACCAAAGTTCACTTATTTTTGAAAATCTCTTATGTTGTGGTTAGGACGCATATAACGCCATGTAATTCAAGTGGTGGTCATTCCAACTAATCCAAATGAAAAAAATATAATTTCTGTAATCGTATTTCTTATTTAAAATAATAATATTTATTGCTTTATCTATGTAGTTACGTTTTTTTATTCAGTTATGTATATTTATGTACTATGTCATAAACTTACTGTTTGTAAGTCCGGGAATTTGAAAAATTTCAAAATATACTCATCTTATCACACTTTATCATGATACAAATTGGTGGCAATCGCAAGCCCGACAACCGAAATCCCGTCTATCGAAATCCCGATGTTCGAAATCCCGACGTTCGAAATCTCGACTATGTCAAAATCCTGACTACCATAATCCCGACAATAAAAATCCCGACTATATCGAAATCCCGACTACCATAATCCCGACAATCAAAGTCCCGACTATATTGAAATCTCGACAATCTAAAACTTAATAAGATTATTAATTGTTGTTATGTATTGTTAATAACATAAACTAATTTTATTATAGAATATTTCTTATTCTTAAGTTTTATAATGAATAAGTCAACGAAAAAAAAATACAGTAATAATTAATATTATTTACTGTTATTATTAATAATAAATAACAACAATTAATAATCGGGCAAAAAAAATTTTCAGTATCCGTCGTACCTATTAAAATATAGTAGAATAATATAAAATGTTATTGCAGAAATTATAATAATAAAAGACACTGTTGGGATGTCTATTATCGGGATTTTAACATAGTCGGGATTTCGATACACTCGGGATTTCGAACGTCGGGCTTTCAATAGACGGTCTTTCGGTTGTCGGGCTTGCGATATAGACTCTTACAAATACTCTTCAATTTAGACATCACAATTATTAAGCAAAAAACGACAAAAGAAACAAATTTAAAACAGAAAGTACATCTTTAAAAAATAATATATTAAAGAAATTATCAATTTTTGTTTGGAGAGTTAATTTTTTTTTTCATTATATATCTCCTTGTAACAAGCTAGAGCTTTTAGAATTTTGTTCTTAAGTCGGGGCTGTATGTATTGCAACAGCCATAATAAAAAGTTATCAAAATAACATAAGAAAAATAAAACTAAATTGAATTGTTGTAAAGGGCTACTGGGGCTACTGACCATAGGTCTTTCATAAAGATTTACATGTTAATAAAACTAAAACTTGTTTGAAATTTTATAAGAAAGTGTTGCTCTTTACAATTGGTCTCAATTCAATTTTAGCCTCATGGTTGCTTATCACGACCTGATTACAACGACACATGTTTGTGTGTCATCAAAATCGAAAAATCCCGACAACCATAGTCGGGATTATGTATCAAATCTCGATAGTATCTTTTATTATTTGATGTAGACGTAAAACAAATGAATTGGCCTATTATTAGTCTATCTCAGGGCGAATTTTATGTTTTTCTTCAATTTTCGGCCTGCAGTTTAGAAAACCCTGGTTTAGAGTAGAGTTTATCGGAACAGTGTTTTATACCTACGCTAAATTAAAACATTCTAGTTAATTGACCCTTAGTCTCATCAAGATTGATTTGTGTACAACCTAATTATACAAATAAATATGGCGCATTGACAAAGTAGAATGTGTTATGTATAATACGATGGATGCAATTGAATCCACACTTAATTCAAGGAAGGAAAACTTCATTCTGATGGATATCGCGACACGCGGTGTTCCTAGAAATGAAAGGGCAGATACGCTAGCCTCTGAGGGACATATGGAAAGGAGGATGATGCAGTCTATTGCATACACTGATTTGTATCCAATTATTATAAAGGATGAATCCGATAAATGGCAATATGTATATAGTAATACATTAATTACTAAAGGGAGAAGATACTTCCAATCGAATGCTGTAGTTGGAACAAAACCGTGGTTCTTGAGAATGTGTTTTACCAAGATATCAGAAGTATCGACGCTGAGTAGATTGCGATCAGGGCATAACTGTTCCGTATGAATCTTTTGAAATGCTCCAGACTGTGTATGTGGCATGATAGCCAATACAAATCATATATTTGTTGAATGCCCAAATAATAGTACAAACAGCCTGTTGTGTGAATTGATATCAAATATTGCTATGAATGGAGGAAGTGAACATTTACAGATTAATTTTAAAGTTTATTAAAAAATCAGGTTGTGTTGTTTGAATGTATGATGTAATTTATTTATTTATTCTTTATATATTTGTCTATTTTTATAGGTTTGTTTGATATTTTGTATATTTTACCTTTTTGTATAGATGTAACTTATATCTACTTATAACAGCTCGTATAATATTTTATTTACCTGACCGAGACCTTCCACATTGTGATAAGCGTGGTAAGAATCACTAAGTCCCGGTTCGTGAAGAGTTCTTATATGTGTTTTGAGTTGTATATACAGTGGAACCTCACTTAACGAGTTTAATCCGTTCCAAAATTTCCGGAGTTTTACTCGAATAGTGAGACATATTAAAAAATACACATATGTGTACACAAGTTTTAAAAATGATGTAGCTGGCGTGCAATCCTGGACTTCTCTTC